TTCATTAGCAGACGAATGCGCACGGCAAATGAATTCATTTCCAGTTCCCAATTCCCAATTCCCAGTTTCAGTTCCACCGCAAGGTCGTCAAAAGTGGCAAATAATGTTGTACACTTGAGTGGGGCCAAAAATAAAGGCAGATTAGAGTTATGTTTGTAGTATTTGTTCATTTTCGTCTGTGCGTGTGTGTGTGAGAGAGAGAGAGAGAGAGCGAGAGAGTTTTGAGATAAGCTAACAGAATATGTTTGAAGAGTGGGGAGAACGGAAGCAGAATGCGCTAAAGAGATTGTGGCTTGGCAGAGTAAGGGAGAGCGGGGCAAGCAGAATAACAGCTGTGCGCCTGCCTGGCCATATGACATTTAATTAGTGCGCAATGTAGAAGCTGATGTTGCTTCAGTCTCCTCCACCCCTCTGCAAATACCAACAACTCGTTATCAGCAACTATTTGGTGTATCTATATATAGAAAAGAAAATGCAGTTGCGATTATGATCAACACATGGAATTTGTTTGTATATATCAGAGATAATGATCTTAAATTATAAATAATACAATTGTGACACATGTTTAACACAATAATTAACAAGGCAGCAAATCGAACCCCAGGCCGAACCAGTTGTTGAAATCGAACACCTTTAAGAAACCCTAGTCCTGCGGTAGAAACGACATTGATCCTATTATTTGATTTTTTTTTTAAACATATTTGTCAGTTGCCAATTTTGGGTAGAGATCAAATTTAGGCAACATATTTTGAAAATAAATAAACTCTACAACTAGAAAGTTCAGGTAGTTCAGGCTTTGTTGATCCAAGCGAAATAGCTTTTTCCAATTAAAAAAGTCACTAAGCGGAACTTGTTAGCTGATGCTACCTGTTATCAATATTTGCCTACACCAGCTAAATAAATATAAACAATATGACGAAACTCGTTTCGACAATGTTTAAAAAAGCAAATGGCAATATCGATAAGGGAAATTCTTGTACGAATTTCAACTGTTGAAAGCAGTAGCAAAGTTTTCGAGTAATTCCTGTTCCTAGCTCTTGTAGAATTCCTAATTAAGCCCAACTCAGCTGTTTAACAATCACAACAGCATGCTGGCCACTTTCTTTTGCGCTGCTTTTGAAAACTTTCCAAGCAAAACAGAAGAGTTAAAACCTAAATGTGCGATGCGATCTTAGGTTGGCAAAATCAGCTAACTAAATAAGCCAAAGCAATGGGTTTAATTAAAATCAAAAACTCTCGCATCAAATACAGTGAAAGTTGACATGAAGTTAACAGCCGAGTGATGTGTGGGGTCCTATGCAACATGAGCGACAGCTGAAAAGGGATGTAGAAAATATTTGTACACTGCGAGAAAAGCACGGTATGGAATTGCATTCATAATTCTTAAAGTATCAACTTCGCTTCTTCTTCATTTCATAGATTAAGCACTGGAATTGAGTGTCGTATTCTTATGAATTAGAAATGGGCATTTTGTTTTTAGGTTTTGCAATTTGAGCACAACATTCTAGATCATTTTTCTAAGTGCATTAGCTCGCACATAAACATACTCTAAAACCGTCGCAATTCATTGAAATTTGAAGTTTTAAGGCTCAACAGAGTTTTGTGTACATGAAGGGAAGGGAGCAGATGCGGAGGAGGAAAAAAAAATAACGCCGCGCCATTTGCCGTTAAAACCGAAAAACATTCAATGCTAAATGTCGCGTCAGTTTTGCATTGTTTATTGCTGTTTGTTTCTCTTGTTTTAGCTTTTGATACTCGTTTTAATGCACGGCTCAAGTGCCCGTCGAGCTTAACGCTTTGTCACTGTTTTTCTTATATTTTCTTTCAAGCTATAGACTGAAGGGGCGGCGAGGTGCTGAATTCAGTTGGGGCTTGGCGACAGCCATTGAACTGCCTGCCGCGGTCAGTGACGTCATGCGGTCTGTGATGTTAAGTGTTGCAAAAGATTTTTACTTTTGAGCATGTTGCAGCACTCAACAACATTGGGATTTACAACGGGAACGAGCAACTCCTTAATATAGGGCTGTAACAGTGCTGTTAAGTTTGCAATTGAGTGTAAGCATAATAGCAGCGACAGAGAGAGACTCTGCATCTGAGTGGGCTGTGATCGTAGAGCGCTGACTGAAGAAGAACAACGAAGGGAACAGTAGTCACGGTATTTTGAGTGACCAATTGATTGTTGAAATTAAACTAAAGGAGGTTTTAAGACGCACAGCACTTGCTATGTTGCCAAATTACGAATAAAATGTATAGCTAACTCTATGCTATGCATCTTAGTGGGCATATAGAATATCCATCTCTATATATATGCAGTTTATGCAAAAATTAACATTTAACAATCAATATGTTTATAAATATATATGTCACTTAATCAACTCCCACGTGGCAAGCACATTTGTTGCTCGACTTAATATTGCTTTTTTTTATAGCCCACACGCTTGCGTGACACATTTTACCAGACTCTTCGTCTCGCCCCCTCCCTTGGATGTCTGGTAATCTGATCTTCAAGTCCCGTCGTCATCAGCTGGCGTCAGCAAGCAAACAGTTAGCTAATTTTTCACAGTCAATTATTTATGGTTATTTTGCAGCATCTGTCGTTTTATGCTACACCGCAAAGCCGCAAGTCACATTGAAAATATGTTGCTAAGCACATGCATGTTGCTAACTGATCATTTTGTTTAGCTACATACAAATACGCGTACATGTTGCTGGCAAGACGCCAATTTTAGTTTGCCGTTTTATGACGTCATAGTTGGCGTGTGAGCAACGTGGGTGTTTTATAAGCAATTATGTGTGTTTTATTTTCTTCTTTTATTTTTGTTTATTTTGTTTTGTTTATTATTTTTTTGATTGCTTTTCACTTTTCGCAATCATTGCGCTGTCATTTTTAATTGACTGTTTCGATTATTTGGTGGCTCCGTGCATGGTACGTCATGAATATTGGCCAATTGGCGGCGGCTATCTTATGCCATTTATCTCTTTCAATGGGTCTGCCAAGTGAAAGTTTTTTGTTGTTGCCGAAAAGTTCATTGGCAGCGCAATATGATGCTGGCAACAATGTTGCTAATATACACATACATACGTATTCTAGCGATTACAGACGACAAAAAGGAAACACCAATAAGTGTGCTAACCGTTATGAATCATAACCAACACACATTCGTCGTAAACTTTCAAACTGTACAGCAATACACAATACACGCGAGAATGCATTAAGTTGTGATGTGTGTGTAATTAGAAGATACGCACAAAGCAACAAGCGCGAAAAGCGTAGAAAACAAAACACAGAGACCCGCCAGAGCTTGGAGATAGCAGCGGAGCAATGGAATTATAAATATGTTCATATGTCAAATGTTTACTTGTGATAAGTGGCGCAAAAATATTTATAAGAAATATGCTTTGCAAATAAGATAGCTTGAATAAATTTAAAAATATTGGTTGCTTTTTTTTTGGTTTTGGTTATGACAAAAACAAGTTAGTTACCAAAATGAGTCTTTGCTGCTATTTGGGTATACGACATTGTCAAATATAACAATGGTATTCCGTCTAAATATAAATCGATAACTTCTCAATGGAATTTCATTCATATGCCAAGAGTATGGGAATAACTTTTAGTGATTGCAAAACTTATTTGTCTTAATATATTTATTATATTGTATATTACTTGCAAAGAATTGGTTTATATTTATAGATGGACTTTCTTGAATTTGTACCGATTCCTCAATCTGACACACTGACTTGGACTACGCAACTTCAGCTGTTATTATCACAGAATGCGGCTTATCTTTTATACTATACACTAACTCCCATATATGTACACACACTCACGTAGCAAACGGCAACATTTGCTGTTTTGCTGCAAAGCAATGTCAAGACTGGCAATATTTTATATGCATTCATTTTCTAAATGGTTAGGGCCTTACCTTTTGTATAACAACGATGACGGCGATGGTGACAACGACGACGACGACGACGACGGTAAATCCGTAAAGCCAGCAAGGCAGTTTTAGTTTTCTTATTGCTTACTTATTATTTTTCGGCTAGTTATTTCCACATCTGCAGGCAGAAACAGAGTTGCGCTCTCTCTCGTTGTGGTTATTCGTTGTTGTTGCCGCCTCTGTTTTACTCTTTTCACACACTCAATCACACACACACACTCACACAAGCATAACTTGCAATTTTGTTGGCCTTTAGCTAGAAACACAAAAGAGAAAGAACATGCAATATTGCAATAACAATACATGAAGCTTTTGCAATGCTTTTATTTCACTGTATTTAATCCCGTCTTTCTTTGCATTTCACTTTGGCTGCACTTCGGCCGACGCCGCCGCCTGGCGTCACGCCCACCTCACACAAGCGCGCCAGAGATGAGCGATTTTCATGTGTGCGTGTGTGTACCTGTGACTTTTCAAAAGTACGTCCAGAATCGAAAGTAAAAGGCATTAAGCCAGTCACATGCTTTTTCAATTGGCTTAAAACGTGCCAAAGATGTGTGAAAGTTCAGTCACAGGCACAGTGGAATAGTCACAGTATCGCTCATCTCTAGTGGCCACTGTAAAAAGCTGAATCGCTTCATCTGCATCAATGTTTAACACTAATTGAAACGTGCAACTTGCACTTGGAACACTCTATGCAGCTGCAATTGCTACAAGTGATGTTTTTCACATACATTTACATTTAATTTATATACTTGATTAAATACCAAAGATAAAGGGAAAATGCACCGCTAAAACGACCGTGCGCACCATAGAGAACCCGACCGAACTGTTGTGTGTGACTGCAGCTACCATGCGCTAAAATACACACGGCAATGTGGCCGTATTCAATGTCGATAAATATTGTAGTCGATAAAAATACTAAGAAATTAAAGTTACGCGCTTACGACTACGTTATGTTACGCTTTTGCGTCCGCAATACAATATCTTAGCGCCAACAGAATCGATAAATCAAATTCAAATATTCATTACTTTAGATGTTGAATTATTGCAAATATTCTCATGATTTCGTTATGTGTGTTTATTCATTTGTATTTGTTTTCTATGTTGCATACATTGAGTGTTTTTTTTTTTTGTTTGTTTGTGATATCGCAAGCATTTTTTCAATTTTGTTTCGTTTCACTTCAGAATACATAAATGTTTACACGCACGTTCGCTTACAATGAGACGACGGATATAAAATCAACTAAATTATGGTACATAAATCAACATTTAGCATACGTAAATATAGTTTCATAAAACATAGCTGGTAATGGTAAATAATTGCAACTTAATGCTAAACTTAATAATCCGCCGCCAGCCGATTTCTAGCGCCACTGCTCTCCTAAATTTGTACACAATTCGAAGGTATCTCATGCTTAGATCGCACCATCAAAAAGAGTTTGTTATCAAAAGCATTCGGGTGAATTTAAATATAATTACTTCAGAATTAACTAACCTCGTATGTGTGTGCGAGTGTATTTGGGAGGCGTTATATTCCATTATTTTTGTTTGTTTTGTTCGTTTCAATTTAAATTTACAACTAAAAATTTTGCGGTCCAAAAAGAATTGTGGGAAAGAACAGAATAGAAAATGGCGAGTAAAGCTCGATTATAAAGGTAGAAGTATATATATATATATATATGTATATATATGATATATAAATATTGTAACTGTATAACTGCGTCCATCCGATTTGCATACTTTACATCCATTTCCATATTTGCATAGCACACTTCCAACACGCCCCCGCATGCCCCCACCCCACAAGATGTATATAGTATATATATGCTTGTTGAATCTCGTTCTGCTTTAGGTACGACGTTTGCTGTTGTTTGAGTGTGTTAAACGCGAATGGACAGAAAGTAGATGATCGCAGCCAGCGCAACACAGCACAACGGCAGGGCACGACGAAAGAAGACCTGATGGTCATAGGCCAACGGCTGTTTAAGGCGCAGCTTTGTGATCTCGTTGCGCAATTCCAGATTGCTATTTTCCGATTGCTCCAGGCGTTCCTTGTACACGATTAGCTCCTCTTCTCGCTCCACTTGCGCATCATTCATGGTCTTCAGTTCCTCGCGCCAACTCGATAGCTCGCCATCAATTTCCTTGCTATCATTCGGCAGCAGCGGCTCCAGTTCATCGGTTACGAGATCATCGAGTTTCTCCTCTGCACCACTAGAACTGCGAGGTTGTGGTTGTTCCAGCTGCTGCTCCAGCAGCTGCTGTTTAAGCTTATTCATTTCCTCCTCCAGAATGCTAATGTCGCTGGCCAGTGTAGCCGATCTTTGCTTATAGAATAGACACTCTTCGTGCAGCATATCCATTGCTTGGTCGTGCGGCAAATCTTCATCCACGGTCTCATCGTTGCGCACCAGCGTTTGCTGTGTTTCCAGTTTATGGATGGACGACTCCTCGGCCGCCTCATCGATGCCATTGAGGCGTGCGTGCTTGGGCGATTTGTGTACAAACTCATCGAATGCCGTCTCAGCTGCGGTGCCCCCCGTTGGTGATGAGTCAGTCGAAGGCGGTTTCTGTTCGACCTCCTCGTCGCCGGAGTCGGCAGCATTAAATATGGCTTTTAATACATCGCCACCATCCGCGCCCTTGAGATCCGAGTTCTTGAGCCACTTCAGCATGGTGTCTTTGCGTACCACCTTGTGCTTTAAATCGAATTCCTCCTTCTGTTGCCGCTTGCTCTTCTTACACTGCAAAAAGCAAAAAGTGGACATTAATTTGGGGTAACTTTAAATGCAGATTCACTTACAGATTTACGTTTGCTTGGTGTAGTCTGTTCCTTGTCGAGCAGCTCGGACGTCTCGCCGAGCTGTGCACCTCCTTTATCTACCTGATATTCGTCCTTATTATCAGCGCCATTATCATGATCGCCAGCTTCCTTTTCCTCGTCGTCGTCGTCGTCGTCGTCATTGTCATCGTTGTCGTCATCCTCGTCGTCTTCGTCATCATCATCGTCATCACCGACCCCGATGGCAGCATTCAGTTGCTCCAGCGTCTGTTGCTGCTGCAGCGCCTGTTCGCTGTTTTGATCAGCAATCGTTTGCCGCAGTTGCAGCAGCTGTTGGCGCATCTGCTCCATTTCGCTCTCCTGAGCAATTAGCTGCTCCTTGAGCTGCCCTAGCCGTTGCTCCTCCTGTTCTTTAGCCTCTTGCTGCTGGTGCAGCGTTTCCTGCTTATATTCCGTGTACTCCTGCTGCAGCTGATCCAGACGTGTATTGAAATCCTGTAGTGTCTGCTTCGAGCTTAATATCTGGGCGCGCAATATGCCGCACTCGTTATCCGAGGTTGTGTACGCCATCTCCATTTTTGACAGCATTTCCATGGCATCGCAGCGATCTTGGTAGACCTTGCGCAGCGCCTCTTTGGCAGTTAGCTGATACGAGGTCTTATCCTCAAGCAACTTAACAACCTGGAAAACACGATTGAATGATGTATTAATAAAAATAAGGTATCGAATTGTGATCTTAAAAGTATGCTACACCGATTTGCTGGGCCGCTTATCTACAAACCACACCCAACTCTTTTTTCTTATGGACTTGGTTTCGAATCATTTTTTACCCAGGAGTTAAATTGGTGAATTTTAAATAAGCCCTCCATATTCAAAACTTCTAAATGGTAAACTAATGGGAGAAATTTGTTTTGCCTGCTGCTAAATTTGGAATGCTCAGTGTGTCAACTAAGCAAGGGCAAACTACGACTTCAAAAGGTAACTTCTATCCTATAAAATGCTTGCTAGTTAGTCTGTCATAAATATGTACGTAGGATTTGCTGTAAATGTTAATTAATTCACCTCGTTACGTAACGCATTTTCGGGCACATTCTTTTCCATCATTTGAAGCTTTTTCTCGAGCAGATTGATCTTGTGCAAGAGCTGATCCTCGGTTATCATGCTCTGCCAGCACAAGGCCGCGTTTTTACGCGTGGAATCAATAACGCCCTGTAAACTGCTCAGCTTGGCTTTGAGCATCTTCTCGCGCTGTGAGGCCTCCTGTAAAAATGCATTGAGTCGTTGTATTTCATCATAACTGATCCGATTTGGTCCCGTCAGCTGCAGCTGTTCAGACTCTATTGAAATGGCCTCGCGACCGTCTGGGAGAAACAGTGTCACGCGCGCAATGATACAGCCATGGACTTCCTGGCGTGAATTCTCAATAACCTCAACGCCGAACTTGACGGTGTCACCATAGTGCAGCTCGGCTGGCTCATTGCCCAGCTTGTTGTCGTTGATGAAGGTGCCATTGCTGGATTTGGTATCCTTAACCCAAAAACGTCCGTCGGGCGTATACCACAGCATGGCATGATTGCGCGACAACACCTTGCAATCAAATATGGCATTGCTCTCGCTCGCCTTGCTCTTGGCAATCAAACGGCCCACTTTGCATTCCTGGTTGGGAGCCAGCAAAATGTTGCGTGTCTCGAATTTGTGCGATTTACCCTCGCATTGCAGGACAATCTTTGCCTCACCCGGCGACATATCCTGTGTGTTGAGCAGCGTATTGGCCACTGTCTCATTAGGCAATTGTAAGGCACCCATCGAGCTGAATAGATTGCCGCTCGTCGTATTATTGGCATTAAGCACCGAATTCATAGCCAGTTGCAACTGCGCCTGCTTCTGTGCCAGCTGGCCCTGCAAGTGACAATTCAAATTCCATATTACAAATATATTAAGTGTTGTTAATTCGAATTGAACTCACCTGCAATAGTGTGTTCGTATTGGAATCACAGCTCTCTGTTGCACTCGTATTATTGTTCTCCTGATTCTCCAGATTGTCGTTGGCATCGTTACTGTTTAATATGCTGTTGTTGATGTTGTTGCTGCTGCTGTTGTTGCTGTTCTCTGTGGGCAGCTCACACGTCTCGGACTCGTGCTTTTCGCGCATTAGCAAAAGTTGCTGTTGCTGCTGCTGGTGCTGCTGGTGCTCCTGCTCAGCCTTCTTGCTGAGCTCCATTTTGTTGTGTGCCTTCTTATTGATGCGCTGCTGGCGCTTGGACAGCTCACCCACGACTCCACTGGCAACAGCTACTGGTCTGGCGGTTAGCTCTTGGTCCGTTACGTTGTTCACAGCGGCTGCAACTGCAGCTGTTGCAGTTGTCGTTGTCGTTGCTATCGCTGCTGCTGATGCTGCTGCTGCCGCGTTTGGCTTCTGCTCGTCATCCTTATTGCTCTGCCATTCGTTGCTGACCAAGACCATAACTGAAAAGTGTGAAATGCGCACAGACAGTCATACAGTAAAATGTATATCTGATAAAATGTTGTTAGCTGGAGAGCTTGAATTTGATTGAATGTTACAAAACTTCTGTGCACCAAACGGAACGATCGGAATGTTAATAATGACAGCTGAAGAATTTTAACTCAAGGCACGCCAGATTGAGATTTCATTTCAAAGAGAGCCGCATTCAAAAGAATAAATTCAAAATGAGCTGTTTACAAGAAAAAATTCAAAATTCTAGAAGAAATAAGAGCTGATGTTTTCAATTCGAAAAAGCTGTGCTTAAATTTAAGATAATCTTATTTAACATTTATTAACAATGCAATTGAGATATATATTTTAAAGCTAAATGATGCCAAATGTTGTTCTAGCTATTATAAAAAAAAAACCCTTTAAAATATAGTTAAACCTTATCTGACAAATACATATCATAAAACGGTCCTCCACTAATACAAACGAGGATCGTCCAAATTTAAGTTATGTGAGCTAAAATCGAATATTAATTTGTTGCAAAATAGCCCCACATTTGTTATCTATGCAGGATTCTCTACGGAAACATTTTGATTTTTTCAATTTTTCAATATCTGTTTACAAGAAAAAAAAAAATACTTCAGTGCAGGCGCAAAATAATGTTTCGTATAAAAATAGATTTTGAAAATATAATTGAAGCGGTCAACAAATGCGAGTACTCGCGTGTGTGTGTGTGTGTGTGTGTGTATGCGTCTGTGTGACGTGTGTGGGAGGGGGAGGCGGAGGGGGGAGGGCCACCGAAAAATGGTTTGTTTGTGTATGTGATCGGGGCGCGTCTGCTCCAATTTGGAACGCGCAACGAGAAGAAGGAGCAGCAGAAATATATGAGCATATGTAAATATACATATGTACAATATGTATTTATGTGCGTGCAATATATTGAATGATTGTGCAATAAACTGCGTGTGCGGAGCGACAGAGATAGAGTTAGAAGAAGAACAACAACAGTAGAAGCCAAAACCTACAATTGGGTAGAGTTGCCCCCTTACCTTGCAGCACTAGTACATAGCGGCGATAGTGGGCCCATGGCCTCAACGATAACAACAATAACGGCTTGGATGGATATGGCAACTACACTTGACGTTGATGGTGTTGTTGTTGTTGTTGCTGCTGCTGCTGCTGCAGTTGGGCGTCGGTGGGAGTGGGGAAAGCTGCGAACAATGCAAAACTTTTGTTGTTGACTGGCATCAAGTACATAGAGCACAACTAATGTGATCAGCGCTGCGCCGACGTCTGTCTGCCTGCTTGCCTGTTTGCGTGTATGTGTGTGTGTGTGTGTCGCTGCTGCAGTTACTGCAACTACAACAACAACAACTACTATTACAGCTGCAGGCAGTGGCTGGGCACGAGTTCAACGTGGACTTTTGGGGGGCGAGCGGGGCCTGGAGTGTCAAGACTGCGTCTCGTATTGTTTTTTTTCTTCTCTTCTTCACTTAAAAAAGTTGATACACAAATTGAGCACTAGCTGCTGCTTAATTGAATTTAATTACAAATGGCTGTGTGTCGTTGACATTTGGAGAATTTACCGTTCTGCTGCTATCTGGTCGTTTGCTTTGACTTACATATGTATTCGCACAAAAGAAGGAAGGAGAAAAACAAAAATCTTTTCTGCGCTTGTTTTGTATATTAAGACACACGCACAGTAAATTAACTTGTTAGTATATTTGGAGCTTCAAAACTCACCTTGGTTATAATGTTGTTTTTGTTAATCAATTTTGCAACACAGCGAAAGCAAATAATATTTGCGATAATTGTTTTCAGTTCTCAAACCAAACCTCTGCACTAGCAATGTGTACTAGACACGATACAACTAGCTATTGTGAGTTGTCACAAAATTATCACAAGCCTACTTTGATTGTGCTGACATTAACTTGGCTGTGAAAGCGGGTTGCTTGGCCAAAGTGCTGAATTTGCGTAACCAGAAAAACTAAAACGCAAATTAATATAAAACATATTCAAAGTATGCCCATTAGACAACTGATTGGTCGTACCGTGTATGCCTGATTGTAGTTAGTAGAGTTGTCACAGTCAGCTGCAGTTATCGATTACAAACAGCAGCGACTCTGTCATACTAACATCGATCAGGGAAAAAATACAACAAAACATAAAAGAGGGCGCTGTGCTTGAAATAAATATGTAACTCATTGCAAAATTGTTTATTGGCTTAATTTAATTGAAAGCTTTTAAATTTATCAAAGTTATAGAATCCAGCACGCACTTGCCGTCCGCCAAAAAATCGACCATTCAAATCTACAACAGCTGCAAGAAGCGAGAATATTAGTTATATGTTAAATCAAAGTTTCTTAAATTTAAAACCCACCCTTTATGGCGCTCTCTATACGTTTAAATTCTACAAATATTTTGACCGCATCCTCCGGAACCGTACCAAAGGCCTCGTGTATGATAACACTGTTGACTTCACCATACTTTGTGTTGCACTCATCCTTGACCTCGGGTTCGAGTTCCTCATCCACATCGCCTGGTCCGACCATGTTGCGTAGTAGAACAACTTTGCTGGGCGCCTTCATGATTTCGGTAATGCTAGGCTCGGGCTCACTAGCCGGTGCGGGTGTTGCTGCGCCTGGCAATGGTGGCGGTGGCATGGAGGCGGCGGCAGCAGCAGTAGGACTAGGACTCGAAACTGGCGGCGTTGCGTTCACGGCGGCCAGCTGAGAGAGCGGCGGGGAGGTAGATGGAGGTGGTAAAAATACGTCCTTTTCGTGTATGATGCGACCGCCACGCTTTGATGTCTTTTCCACTTGCAGGGCTACAGACATGCCCTGCTCTGATTTTCCCAATCCCTGGCCATCCTTGAAGCCGTATTTGGCCATTATCTTTGCTGCCACCGAGCTGGCAGAATATGGTATGGTTACATTCGAAGACCCATCCCCATTGTCGATGGATAGCGAAGGTGGTGGCGCTATGGCCGCACCACCGCCCTGCTTGGCAACTGAGCCTGGCGCCGGCGGACTGTATCTGTCTTCATCACTCTGTCGCTGACCAAAGCCACTGAATTTCATGGCTGGTGGCGAGGTGTCATGATTATGTGTCTCCCGGCGTCCGCCACGGTTGCGCTTACGATCCCGATCGCGATCCCTGTCTCGGTCTCGGTCGCGCTCTTCTCGATTGCCACTTGCGCCACTGTTGCGTGACTTGTCACTGCCCTTTGTCTTGTCCTTCAGTTTCTCGTACTCGTTGGGCCACTGTGGATCATATTCGTCCACGAAATCCCAATCATCTGTTTTAATGTTCTCCAGTGCCGGCGGAGGTGCCACTGTGGTGCTGGTGATGATTGGCCTGGCAGCGACTGTCATGGGCACAAAATTTTCTGCATCTGCGTTGCGTTTGGTGCGCAAATTAACCACTGGTGTCATGAGCTGTGAATAAGATGTAATTAATTTGTATAGATACATATGCGCAGTGAACAGAATTTCACTGACCGGTTTCTTGATTTGATCCCTCGCCTTGGGCTTCGGCAGCTGGGCTTTTTTTACTGCCAACTGCGTTTGCAGCATTTTGATGCCCGAAGACCATCCATCCATTTGGGTGGCGCGTGGCTTTGCGTCGATGTCGTCGTACAAATCCATTTTGTGCAAATTTTTTGTTTACTTATAAACAATAATAAAAACGAAAACTTTTCGTCTCGGACCTGGTGCACGGCGTTCAGTGCTCTAAAGATATGCAATTGCAGGCTTTTGCAGCACTGTATTATAAACATATGCTAATTTTTGCGTTAACAGTTTTGTTAACAGTTTTGCGTTACGTGACTGTTAGCTATACGTTGCACTTCAGGTTAACCTAACATAAATGTTACTCGTTAATGTTTATAAAAAATGGGCAATGAAGGCAGCAAATTAAAAGGGCTAATAATTGACAAAAATGCCGTCGAAGTCAATGATTTTTGGGCCCTGTACAATGCCGAGTCGCCAACAACATGCAACGAGGAAGGAAGCGATGGCCAGCACCTGTCCATATTCAAGGGTGAGCTCCTAGTTAAGGGACAGCTATGGGCAGCCCAAGGGCCAATGGAGCGTGCCATTAAGGTGAGTTCCACATGTACAAGCCAAATGGTTGACCACTAAATGCCGCAATTGTGTGTCACAGAACCTGATGATCTATCGCCATCCGTACATACTAAAGTATATGTCAACCTGGGATCAGTCCGGACAAAAGCATTTGGCCACGGAGCGCGTGAGGCCGTTAAGCGATGTGCTTGCCCAGCAGAGTCCGATACAAGTGTGCCTCGGCCTGCGCACCATACTATGTAGTCTGATATTTCTCATTGAAAAGGCACTGGCACGGCATCTCAACATTTGCACCCAGTCAATTTACGTGACGGATAAGGGCAGCTGGCGCTTGGCCGGCTTTGAGTACGTGTGGAAGGCCAAGGACTTGAGTAAAGAGATCTTAGAGCTGGCGCACAGCTTCCGGCAGCCGCTGGCAATAGACTCGACCAACGGCGAGCTGGGTCTGGAACAGTTTGCCTTTGCCACGCTCTGCGAGCAAATACTGAACAACTGTGGAGCGGCCAGCACACCGCATGTGCAGGAATTTCGGGATTATTGTAGCACACACTTGAAGCATCAGAACATCGAGCTGCGACCCAAGCTGTCTGCTGTGCTTTTGCATCCGTATTTTAACCATGAATTCGTTCTAATACATTCCTTTCTCTTCGAGCTGCCGCTGAAGTCCGTGCAGGAGCGTCAACAATTCTTCAGCAATCTAATCGAGCGTCTGCGCTGCTTCGATGAACAGGTCGTTGCCTCTCAATTGGCCAGCGATCTGCTTTCACGAATGGTGCTGCTAGATCCCACCGCCCAGCACTGCGTCACACCGTACGTGCTACGTACCAAGACGGAGAACGGCACCACGGCCCTGTTCGCTCCACAGACGTACTTGCAGTATCTGCTGCCGCATATACTGAAAATGTTTCGCCTGCGCGATGCACAGATTCGACTCATTCTGCTGGACTATTTCATGGAGTACGTGCGTCTGCTGAGCGACGAGCAATTGCAGTCTGAGATCTTACCGCATTTACAGATGGGCATGAACGATACCAACGATGTGCTCGTAGCCAAGACATTGCGTTGCCTGGCCGATCTCGTGCCCATTTTGGGTGCAGCCACTGTGCTCGGCGGGGACAGAAGGCGCTGCTTTTCGGATGGAAGGCCGCATGCTGCCGTTTCTACGGACTGCAGCACACCTTGGACAGAGCCACGGTCCATAACGCCGCTCATGAATGGCAGCGCTGTGGATGCAGTTGATTATATGGTCTCGGGCAGTCCGTTGCCAGTTGAGAGCAATGTGGCGCCAATGCCACTGCGTCTGAGTCCTGATGGCGGCGAGGACGATAAGAGCGTTGCAAATTTAAGCGAAAAGCCCCTGGAGCTGAGCCAAGGCAGCTGTCCCGATAGCAGCTCCGATAACGCTGACAGCTCCACCAGCAGTGCGGCGCACGAACAGACGCTGGTCAATGATGAGGAGGAGGCCTGGTCCGATTGGGACAATACGGATGAGCTGCAGCGTCTGCATGTCAAACAGGAGGCCATGGATGAGTTAAATCTAAACAATGTGGAAACGAATAGCAGCACCTCCACACAGGCCACGCAGCCTTCGCTTGCCGACTCTTTTCGCACCGCCTGCTCCAGCGTCTCCACGGACGCAAAGAAAATAATCCCGCCGCCATCGATCAACCGGCAGCTCATTGATGATCTCAGTGCACTGGACATACAAGTGCAGCTGACAACGCCGGCCAACCGCTCCGAGCCGGCTGAATTTGATTTCTTCAAGGATATGGAGCCGATTATTGAGACAAAGGCCGTCAGCAGCGATCCGGAGGTTGTGGAAATCGATGCCAGTCGTTTTGCGGCCGCATCAATTGGCTCAAATGGTCATGATGTCGATGACGCAGGTGATCAGGGCTGGGGCCACGACGAGGACGAGGACGATGTCGTCTGGGGCAGCAATGGGCAGACAACCAATGTCGCTTAATTATCTTAAGATTATAAAATTCCATTTTCTGTCACTTTCAGCAGACTCTCCCTTTTCCATGTATTTAGCCTCGTTTTGCCCAGGTTGAAAATTTCATGTTTCTCGTTTCATATTTTTAAGTACATAATTTGTACATAAATATATATTTAATTCCAATACGCAAGGGCTGCGTATAAAATTATATGTACATATACGCATATTTGACGCATTTCTTTCTAGAATATTTTTTAAATGTCCCATTTCCTATTTCAATGCATTTCTAAAGGGTAATTTGAATAATTTTCATAAAACTTGTAACGCATTAAAGAAATCATCCCATGTTCTATGGAGAAAATTATATTATACACATTTTTGATCACAAATCAAGAAGTTCGATATTTTCTAAAGGTACTTCCGTCAAGGATATTGTATCAAAATCGAAAAAGGATAAACTCCCTAACCGTAATAAATCGAACTCGTATAGTTAGTTTTATTTAGAGCGTGAATTCTAAATGAAATACTCTATGGAAATGAAAGTGTTCTTTATCCTTTCACTGGGGATATACAGAATTGTTCGAAATTTTAACTTATTTTTTTAACTGGGATGGTTTCGAGGACTCTACGGGAAATTCTATATTGGTCTGCAGGAAATGCCCGCATGAGAAAAATATCAGTTGAAAATTAAGCTTGAGGATTTGGACAAATTCGATATGCACTTTACGATGAAATTCTAATATTGCCTTGAAAAATTTGTTTAACCTCCGATATCTATATAATATACTCATATAAGGTAATTCAGTTGTTGGCGCGATTAACTATCAATATAATTTTAAATATTTTATACACGACTGAACAATAATTTGAGTTATTGATGTCCCATTCGAGTACTTTAAAATACAATTTCTCATTTGGTTCTTAAATAAATAAAATAGACCAAAAAGTCTTCTATAAGGATAAATTAATAATAATATTCCATTATCTGTTGGATACGAGTAAAAAATAAATAAAAAAAAATTATTTAAAATAAAAAACAACAAAAAATTTGAAATAAAGAAATCTTATCCTTATCATAAAGACCCCAACACCACAAATGTGAGATGAAAAGTCTCGAAGAGTAAATCATAAGAAATAACATTGATGAAGAGCGTCAACAATAACATTAAAGAGAGTCCGAAACGTAAATATATGGAAGCAGAGGCCGAAATTAAGCGAGAGAGAGAGTTTTCTATTTATAGATTACAGTTGCGCGCGAGAGCAAAAAAACGAACTGTAAAAGAAAACAAGCAATAAGCTTGTTGAGAGACTTACCAACAGCAGCTGATCAAATCAATTCAATGCGCTTAGCACAAGCATGATCTAAATTCAATAAATATTAATAGTTATTTTTCTATTTCTTTATAATTTTGGGTTAAACTGTAACTTTATAGATCAAATTCAAAGACACGCAACGCAACGTACAAAAAAAAATACTTCTGTTCGCTATAAAACACAAAACGATATGCACGTACATTAACATACATACATATGTACTCTGTTAAAATACATGTATATGAATGTAAACGCAAACATTAACTTGACTGTAAAGCACAGCTAACATGTTTATGTTACTGTAATAGACGCGAAGCACGTTTGCAAATGTTTTTCATTTGTTTTAAATGCTGTAAAATTTGTTATAAAAATACATACACACTCATTCTCAAAACTGATGTAAAAGCTCACTTTTCACGCACTTTGTTTCACTCGTGCAAATACAATAGATTTAAACGCATTTTCCGCTCCAGAAGTGGATTTTTCTATAGACGAAACACTTATTTCCTTAAAATTTATGTAGTCTTGAAAATCTGAATCCGATCGGATGACTATGTATTTGTATTTTTAATAAAATCCAATACGCAGTCGCCGGCGTAGAATTGTATGTATGTATATTTGAATGCATTTTTTGTTTTTTTTTTTTTTTTTTGTTTTTAATATAATTTTTAAAATGTTTTTCATGTTGTTTTGCATGCATTTGTTTTATTCTCGTTTAAAACTATTCTTGTAAAATTGTTAAATATGTATTTCGTTTTTTGTTTAGCAAAAATGCTATATTTACGCAAAAACATTCTAAAATGCAATTGTTTATATCATTTGACTATGACTTATTAACATTTAAACGATCAAAATGAGACTCAAGCGATCTTAGGATCAAACAGGCTAAATAGAAAAAAACGAAGAGAAAAAAAACGAAATTAAAGAAAAAATAAACACTAAACATGTTTTCAACTATTTTCTCACGTTTTGTTTTTATTTTGCTTACATTTAAAAAAATTTAATTTTACGCAATAATTTGTTGTTTGTTTGCTTTGCAGCATCATCATTATCATGCTCAACTTAATCAATGATCTTAGTAATCGTAATTACATTATTTAATTTAAATAAGATCAGCTGAAGTGTTTGTTATTACTTTAATTCTCACGAGTTTTCAGTTTTGTTTTTTGTTTTTTGTAACTACGCAAACGCAATAAAAAAATCGGTGCGCTATTTGTTTACAATTAAAAGTATTTACTGCGCTCTTTATACATCATGCAAATGCGTAGGAGGGGCGGGATGTGCGGGTGTGTGTGAAGAGACGCTAAGCGGTAATCTAATAGGAGCTTGCTGATTGAGGGGCGGGTTAGGGGATAGAGGAACAACACTGCCAGAAAATTCAAATTGTTGCACGTATTTTGCATAACTTTTTTATAGTTTGTTTCTTTTTTTTTTTTTGTTTTTGTTTTTCTCATTGTGTTGGAAGTAAATCTTAAAAAAAAAAAATAATAAACAATAAAACATTTATATAAAAAAGCATATGTTTTTACATGGATTTTCCGAACAAGTATCAGTAACATACTTCATTGTTTTTCTCCTTTTCACTTATGCTTACGGCTTGCTGCTTTATCGCTTCTTACACATGATCTTTTCTTTAGTTTATGGATTTATGTTGCAGTTGTGTGTGTGTGTGTGTGCGAGAGTGATTGTATGTGTGCGATTTTGTTGAATGAGTGTGTGTATGTGTGTGTGTGTGTGGGCGTGTGTGTGTGTGTGTGTGTTCTCCTGGTATGCGTGAATATTGTATTCTATTGATTCATTATTGTAGTAATGGATTGGTTTTCTCTTAAACAGCCGACGCATTCGCATCCGCATCCGCATTCGCATCCGCATCACAACAACGCATCCTTCAATTCAGCTCCTTGTCTTCTAAGTACTTGTATTCAAAGGTGAAGCCCTCCTTTTTGCGCTGACTCCATTTCTCATAATCGAAGTAGATGTACGTACCCTGAAAACAAAGTTAATTATTATTTATTTATCGCTATTATTAAAATAATTCGATTTCCATTCTTAGAATAGCTTTTGGAGGTTTTACTTGGCTGGACTTGGTTGGATTTAAATCTCACGTCCGCTTGGTAGGAAATGTGAGAGAACTTTCTGGCGAGTTCCTTATTGGATTGACAAATAGCACACAATAATCAAGAGTAAAGCTCATCAATTTGAATTATACGCTCTACCAAAGTTGGGTTCCTATTCTAGAGAAGCATGAGGTTGGATGAGAGAACGCTTGACCCCAATTATTTTGATGGGTTCTATGATAATGTTTGCTCAATAGTTGTAAAAGAAATGCTGAGTAAATTGTTTATGAAAAAATCAACTATGAACAAACAAAAATTAAGTAAAATCAAGTCTAAAGATGTAAAGGCCTGGCACGAAACTTCGAAGAACAACTTTGTCGGTTTTCTTTCCGGCCATAACACTTCAATAAGGACCCAAAGGCGCATTTTAAGCAAAAAGACTATCTTTTCGCCTAATCCTTTATATGCTAGCTACAAGACCTAGTAACCTAGTAAGACCGACTAAAATGTTATGTACTACCTGCGTCGAAGGGACATCAAATTATCGGTTCACTTACTTATGTTTTGGTTAAGAATATATACTTCTAAATTGTGTGTGGGGTCTAGTTAGAGCAGTAAACCTGGCTCACCTGTTCGTAATCATCGTTTATAATTTTAGGCTCCTCGTGCCTCTGAAACCACATCATGTATTTGGTGTGGAAGCGCCAGCTTTGCTTTTTGAGCGCCTTGGCGGCGAGATATTGCGCCTTGGAGCCCTCCATGTAGTAGAATACAAAGAAGAGCGTCTCCGTAGAGAGTCGCTGATAGAATTCAACGGTATCGTATATGGGCAGCTGTGCCTTGGATGCGAAAATGGTTAAATTATAGCCATGTCGGATTACAGTTGAATCAATGTACCTGACTCACCTGGGGATAGTGCGCTGGCGTTTGCACCGGTGAGCGATGAAAATATGTTTGTAGCTTCTCAGTGTCAATCGGCTGTGGCAGGTGATAATATGCGGCTTCCATCATTTGGAACTGCAGCTGATGCTCCTTTTGCAGCGGCGTTGGACCCAACGGTGTTACGCCCAGCAGCGGTGGTATGTGCGCCTCCGTTGTTGCAATTTGCTGTTGTTGCTGCTGCTGTTGTTGTTGCTGCTGTTGCTGCTGTTGTTGCTGTTGTTGCTGTGCTGTATGCGTCTTGGCATTGGCTGCGACAACAACACCACCATTGCCGGTTGACGGCTGACCAGCAGCATTCGCCAGATTCATGAGTCCACTGCCCGCTGTGGGACCATTGCTGGCTGCAGCAACGATGGTACCGATTGCTGCCACCGCTGCTGCTGCCGCTGCTGCATTTTGCTGTTGTTGTTGTTGCTGCGCTGCTGCTGCCGCTGTCGCTTGTTGTTGTTGCTGTTGAAGCTGCTGCTGCTGTTGCTGCTGCTGTTGTTGTTGTTGTTGGTTGGCAGTTGTTTCAGTACTGAAATGCTGTTGCAGCAGCGATTGCGGCGCTGCTTGCTGCTGCTGCGGTTGTTGTTGTTGTTGCTGCTGTTGTTGCTGCTGCTGCTGTCTCGTGTCTATATTACTTGCCTGCTGCTGATTCAGGGAATTTGGCTCGATCACAGATCGATTAATGGCTTCCTGTGCCATGGTTTTCAATGAAATCGCATCGACAGCATTGCTGTTGTTATTGGTGCTGCTGTTGCTACTGCCACTGCTGCTACTGCTGAGTGAGACGGGCAGACCTGTAAAAGAATGAAGTATATAGCATTATATATTAATTAAAAGCTTAACAAGAAATCATATTAAGATTCGTTAAAACCGAATTTTTAGTACCCTTGCAGATATGCAATACATTTGTACATCTACATTTTTTTCCTTTGTTTCTACATCAGTTTAGTGATGAATACAATTTTGGCTATATATTGAGAACATATTAAGCTTGGTTAAAATATTGCGGATACCAAATAATATAGTTGCTAAATTCGGTCAAGATAGCTTAAAAAGTGAGACTAGTCTGCATAGAAAATGACATGAATTTATTGTTTAGCCTGTTGACTCTGATCCTGAATTTATAGATTTGAGTGATGTAGAATATATTGTGTTAGAATTATAAGATCCTCTGGAAGGATATAGAATGAGTGTTCTAATCGACAGTGCTAGGTAAAACTCTAAATTGCTGTCACATTTGTGTTTACAAACACACACGAACATCACTCTGCAATCTAGTGACTGGCTCCGCTACCTTGGACTCCGCACCTACTCAAATAACGTATTTGTTTATAGTTATGCTAGATGAAAACCGAAACATGTAGCGGCACGTGGACATAAGTCACGTTGGAATATCCTTGCTATTCCTAGACCCTTAATCTGCTTTCAGTTTGTGTGAACCACTAAAATTAAGTTATATATGGAAAGATTCACAAATAATATATATAAGTGAAAAAAGATCGTGCTGCTTTTTTACCGAATAACAAAACTTCATGGTATCTTATTTTACCCACTTTAAAAAGCAGAGCCTTAATTTAAACGACCCTGAGTACAGCCTTTATATTAGCCAATGTCAACAATGTATTACCGTTTTGCATGTGTGAGGAATTCGTTTGAAGATTGGATAATTGCGCCGCCTGTTGCTGCTGTTGTTGCTGTTGTGCCTGTGCGCTGGCACTCACAATGGCGGCCACCGTGGGCGCTGTTGCCTGCTGTTGCTGCAGCACAGGTCCATTTTCCAGTAGTGCTATTGACAGCAAAAACAATTTACATGAATAATATTTACGTTAGCTAGTATTTAGTGGAACCTACATGTGTTGTGTTTAGCCACCGCTGCAAATGCAATAGTTGGTGTCGCTTGAATCACAGATTGGCCTTGAATGTTGTTGGTGCTGTTGCTCGCTGATGCCGCAGCGGCAGCTGCTGCTGCTGCTGTTGCCGCTGTGCCAGCGGAGACGGCAACATTAACTGCACTCAGACCAGGCGTTGGGGCATGTGGCTGCACGGCAGGATTGTGACCACTAGCAGCGACATTGCTGCTGCTGCTACTGCTGCTGCTGCTGTTCTGTGTCCCGCTAGACGCCAAAACGGAAGCGACCGTGGGTAGCTGCTGCTGCTGGTTTTTGCTGGGCGTTGAGCTGATAATCTTATTGACTTGAGCTGCTAAGGAATTTAAATTATTTTTTTTTTTCAGTTACCCATCGAATTGCATTTAGGTACTCACTATCACTACCCGCGGGTGCTTTTGCTGTGGCACGCACTGGCGTCGGCTTGATCGGCTGTTGAGGTTGCTGCTGTAAATGGATGCGTATAAGTTAGATCAGGCTACAAGACTTCATTACGAAAGTTAGAGTAAAATAAACAAATTAAAAATTGTAATTGATCAATCTTTTTTAACAGCCGAGTCAGTATAGGTTATGTACGTCGCTTTGGAATCAGGAATCAGACCACCTTATCATATATCTGTCATAGGATCTATCGGTCGGATTTGTAAGACAAAACTTTTGTTTAAAAGATATTGTAAACCCACTTATTTCTGCGTCCAACATCTTATCAACACTCAACTATATTATATACTACAAGAAGTTGCAGGGGTCAGGAAACGCTGCCGTTTCAGGACGATACAAAGTCACTTAGATGCCTACCACCGCATAGCTTATGCATCGAATATTGATAATGGAAACGGGCTGAACTTACGTCCTCCCGTCTCTCAGCCCGAAGGAACCACGAGCCACTTTGACTCCAATTACCTCCACGTGAAGATCGAGCCATGGCCCATGTTAATGACAATATACAAGGCAAGGAGAGTTATTTTTTGAATTGCGTTTTTGTGTAAGCCCGTTGTAAGCCCACTGTTTAGATGAGCATAGAAAAATACGTTTGTGTCCACGAGCGTATTTGATCTCGGTCAGGCCAAATGAAATGTTCCTGGGGAGAAATGACTTACCTTCGCTTTGCTGCTGTTAGCATTGCTTTCGCTGCTTTTGTTGCGCTTCTCGCCACCTGTTGTCGCCTCGGTGGACGTTGTCGCTGAGGATGAAGCTGCGCTGGTGTCGCTCGCATAGCCCACATTGTTGCCATTCGATTGTTGAGCGGCGGCTGCTGCTGCCGCTGCGGCTGCAGCCTGCAAATGCTGAAATTGGGCAGCACTTGCGGCGCTGGTGCCACCGCCTGAACTGCTGCTGCCTGCCATTGCTGATTGCGGTTGTGTGGAGGAGGATGGCAACACCTGCTGCACTGTAACTGGCGATTGGGATGGACTGCCGCCGGAGGTAACGCTGCTGGGCGAGCCGCTGGTTTCGTTGCTGTTGTTGCTGTCCGTTGTGGCCGTTCCGCTCAGCTCTACCTCGTCTAGACCGATAATGTCGTCATAGATGAACTCGTTTTCCTCAAAGTCCGGCTCTTGCGATGAATCAATATAGTATTCGACATCATCCTTGATTTTGTTCACCTGATCCGCTTCGACACCATCGTTGTCCAGCAGTCGCAGCAGGGTTTCCAGCTTGGTTATATGAAATTTATGACGATCTAGCTTACTCCGCAAGTCATCCATGCGCTCCTGTTTGTCACGATCCACACGTTTCTTTTTGCCCGCTAACAGGGATTCAATTTCGCTCTCATACTGATCTATTTGAATTTGCAGTGTACTAATTGAGCCGGTTAACCAATTACGCGCATGATCTTTGATCCGTTGCGCTGGATCCATTTTTTGTGCGGCGCCCAGCCCCTCCTTGGAATAGGCTTTTGTTTTTGTCTCACGCTCCACAACCTTGAAGCGTTCCATTTGCTGTAAGGATATTCAAATGGACACAATTAATAACATAGGTCTAGATAGTCGCTAGGAGAGGTAGTTTGATAGTTTATCAATATTTCGAATCATCGTAATAATTAATTATAGACTTCTATAGGATGGGATATGAATTAAACAAACAATTTGCTTTCAACAAGCTGTTGAAGGGACAGAAATATAAAATTTTGGATGTTAGAAATCTTAATCCGTCCTTTTTTTGCTCTTTGATTAATCAATATTGATAAAATGGAGGGACGATATGTTTGTTCTTCTAAAGATCAAGCCATTCATAGCTATGAACACAACTTGCCGTTTCAATAAGCCTTCGGTTCTCGAGCAGCGCGCTTTTATCTTTGATCTCGGCGGATGCAATCCATGATTTGATTTGATCACGTAATCGCTGCAGCTTCTTAATTTCCTTTTTAAGATCTGCCTCATACTTTTCCTGCAGGTGCTTTTGCTATAAAAAGAGTAAAGAAGACATTAGGAAATTTAAACGTAAGCGCTCGTCGTGGGCTCACCTTCTGGTTGGTATTTGTTGCATTGTGTACCTTTTTCCATATATCCTCAAACGTTTCCACGCCCTCGCCTACCTTTTTTAAACATCGATCAATTTCACCTATCGGAGGATATCGATAATGTTCACAGAATCAGAATTTGAAGACACGCACGAATATGTACATATATATATATATATATATACAAATGTATGCAGGGAGAATTGTGCTTACCTTGCAATTTTCTCGTCGCAGCCATGGCTATGTGTGCTCTTGTGGTTTCTGCTGGCGCAAATAGTTAGACATAGTCCGTTGCAAGCTGTCGCGATTGTTTAGTTATATCACCTGGCCGCAACACAATCTCCGCTTGTGTGGTGCTTCTGCCTGGCCAGAAGTCGACAACGGCGTCTGCAACATAAAATTGATCAATGTAAAATATGCATTAATTGCGCACATACACACACACAAAAACACATACACGCATAAATGCGTGCACCGTACTTTCGATGTGTGCCGCGGCGTTGGTGTCGGCGGCAGAATTATTTCCATTATTTGGGTACACACTTGAGCGTACTGTTACCGTTTGTTGCTTTATTTACCTTAGATCCAAGTAGCTTCACTGAAACGTGTGGGAAAACACTCTCTGCCTGGCTTTGGTTCTTCTGCCTCTTTTTGCATGCACTGATGTATGGCCTGTGTGTGTGTGTGTGTGTGAGTGTTGTGTGTGATACCTTCGGGCCGTCGGAGATTTCGATTTTTTTTTGGCTTAGCCTTTTTGGGCAAACGCAACGTGGCAGCTGTGCTGGGATTTCTTTTATATTGATGAGTAGAGCATTAAATATGTGTGCTTGTTCTTAAATTTGATGATTTATGCAATTTATACATTTAAATAAATACGCTTAAAGATTTTTCGCTTGCTTTTTGTTCGCTTCTTCTTCTTCGCACATTCCAAGATGGCGACTCGCCAAGAGTTATCGAATATAAACGATTGCGCCATTAACTTTCGATAGTGGCACACCACCCTGGCGAGTTTCATAGCAGCTAGCTGTCATTCGTAATATTGCATTTTGAATTTAAACTCGTACGCTATGAAATTGATGATTATTAATTTGTTTATTTGCGTTTTTTTAGTGCATTTTTGCAAAGGGGGGAAAAATATAAGGAATGCACGTTTAGATTGAGTAACTCTTAAATTCGTGTCTACATTAAAGCGGCAGCGGGCGCCATGCGTTCGCCTGCATTCAATTTGTCAATAATTACGTTTAAAATTTTTGCATTTTTTCGAATATTTTGCAAATAGTTAGTAGTTATAGTAGTTGTGCTGCCTATCACATACGTTTGATGCGTTATCCTGCCGTCCTAGCGAGCGCCCTTAGCGTTTAAATCGAAACCAAAATTTAATCATATTTCAAATTGCCTCCTGGCTGCTGCTGCTGCTGTTGTTGTTGTTGCAGTTGTTGTTGTTGCTGCAGTTGCAGTTGCTCGACAGACTCAGAGTCGGTAATATCGCCAGCCAACTGATAGGACGGTATGGACATACAGTTGCGAATAAAACTACACACACTCTGCACATATTGTGCAGGATACTTGGTATAGATCTTAACGTGCTCGGCATCCTCAAAGCAAACAGACGACACATTAATGCCCTGATCACGGCGCATTCGTATAAACTTCTCCACATCCTTGTACGGTATGACCACATCGCTTTTTGAATATAGAAACAGTTGCGGATATTTGTTTGTTTCGTTCTTCAGCTCACAAAATGGACTGGCATGCAATGGCGTTGACTTGACAAACAAATTCTTAAAGGCTGAATATGTTTCCTGCAATTAAAGGTGGCATATTAGTTGGCGGTGACTGGATGGGTGGATGGGTTGGGCAGCAACCTGTAACTCACCTCGACAAACCACATGATGCTCAGGGTCAGGGTTATGGCCAAAGCTGTGAGGCAATTGCATCGCTTCTCCTTTCCATAAATAGCTGTTATGGCACGATACAAGCCGAGCATGCGACGTTCGCCTGGCGCCGAATCAAAGATGACACCGCGCACCTGCAATGGGGACTTGTGCTTTCTGACGGCCAGATTGATGTGCTGATAGAGATAGGCGCCGCCATTGGAGAATATGTGAAAGATCAACGGATGCGCATCAAAGTTCATGTCCTGTATCAGCTTTAAGATCTTTTCCCCAATCGGAACCATTTCGCTGCGCTTCCAGAACAGCGTATCCACAGGCGCCGTATAGCGCACAGTTATGAGGCTGTTAATTAAATGATAATGCTATATTTGTAATAATTATGATTATTATTGTTATTGTGCTTACCCCCGCTCCTCGTAGATCTTTGAGTACTTCATCAAATATCGATCCTGGCAGCCCGCCCAGCCCAATAGCATTACGATTGGCACATTATTATGCTCCTCATTGCCGCTGACCAGCACGAAATCATTATCGGCCGTCGGTTTTGGAAACTTGATGAAGTATTCAAGCGCATCCTCACGCTCCTGCTCCTGCAGATCCTGCTGTTGTCGTCTCAGTTGCTGCTGTCCGGTGCTTGACATTGAATTGCTGGCCACAATGCCGGCCGATCCGCCGTACGGCCGATACTCAGTAGCAATATCATTCGCTGTCAGTCCATATGGATGTGATGCTGACGACGACGACGACATTTTGGCATTCAAATATGTTTACTTCTGAAACTGACTGTGTTTTTTTTTTTTGGAATTTTCGTGTTGTTTTTTTTTTTTCTTCTTCACCAAAATAGAAACTATGTACGTGTTTGGCTTGGTTACGCAAAAGCCTACTTAACAGGATGTGAGGTGCCCAGTGCAAGGTGCCCGGGTGTCAGGTGCCAAAGCGTAGCTGTATTGATTTTACGGCGGAAATGTTAACGTTTGCTCATTTAAACAATGCATACGGCTTTGACTGTGTGCAGCCACAGGACTTTTTACCACATCATTGATTTTTTTTAGCCGCTGACGATAACAGCAGGACTTGACCTTCTGGGCCACGCACAAACAAAACTCAAATGTGCTGCTTCCTGCTGCAGTAACATGCCGCATTCCAATGCGTCGACATTAACTTCCAGCCGTTGCTGTTGACCCATTCGGTTCGAGTTGGACATGCGCAGACGGGTCGCAGGATATTTCACATTTGATCGTGAACTTGGTTATTATGAAAAATAAAACTGTTCCACGTCAATAATCTTGTTTTTATAGTTATAATAAACAAGGTTTCTCAACGAATATAAGGGCTGAAAACTTCATTTAGTAACAGATTACAAATTTAAATTACCGCTTACATTTTCACAGCTGTTAGTTATGTAACGAAACGATATCTGAAAAGCACGATATATCGATAGCGATGTTATCGATGTGTAGCGATGCTCAAATATTCACAAAGTATCGACATTTTAAACACAATTGAACATTTTTAAAATATATTTCAGAACTCAAAATATACATTGCCTAAGTGAACTGCAAACTAAAAAATAATGAATGAATCTAAGGATAATACAAAAATTTGAGCCTGAACAATATGAATATCGTTATGAGAGCAAAGAAAATGAATATAAATAATTATTAAATAAACTTTACATTTACAAAAGTCTGTTTATAGTATTTACTTAGATGGCCAAGAATAATATCACAAAAAAGGTTTTTTAAAGGGAGAACTGTAATAAGGGTATTCACACAAGCAAAACAACATTTTCAATTTGGCAATTTTGGTATTTCAGTTTCAATACACATAAAGTATAATTTGGTAATATTATTGAACTAAATTTGACTAAGTTGTTAAGATCTGTGCGTTACAGTTCCTCGTGTGCCGACGCCTCCTCTGTGAGAGCTGCATCTGGATCGGTATCCACATTCAATGCTACTGTAAACAAAATATAAAAAAAAAAAAACACAAATATGCACAATGAAAATACTGCAGATGAATGCTCTCTCATACGAATTATTCACAGAATAAAATAAACGTTTCTGTCAGCGAAAAATTCCGATATGCTTTTTGGGCTTATAATGACTTCATAATTAAATCCTCTAGCTGCTTTGTGTCTATTTCAGGCTTTTGGGCGCCCTGCGCCGTCCAATTTAACCAGTACTCTGAGGCAGCTATGTAGATAGCGACCGCTCCACCGACAATGTAGGCAATATGTGTGGAGCTCTGAAAGATGACACACGTGGCCACGCACATGCCAAAGTAGGTGAGCAGCCGGGTGATGTTAACATATGAATCACGTTGCTGGGAGGATAGATCTTTCGGTTTCAGCAAATGGGCAAGAAATGTGAGAGTTGTTTTACACGCAGCATTGACCAATCTATACAATCTATACTCACCTTGACACTTGCCATCCTTCAGCTTATAGCCATCAGCGCATTTCCTGCACATGTCCGGCCCATCGCCATCGCAGCCGTCACAGGAACGGTCGCACTCGAGGCAAGAGAACGAGCCCTCGTTGTTAACGCAGAACTGTTGTGGCCGGCAGGCTCGGTGCTGATCCACGCACTCGTTAATATCCACGCAACCGTTCTCGGTGTCCATGCGCCAGCCATCCTTGCACTTGCGACAGCTCTTTGGACCAGCTCCGTTGCAGCCGCCGTCCCCGCAAGCGGCATGACAAGATGTGCATAGAAGCTTTGTTGCATCGCGAAAGGATTCATAGTGTAGCTCATCGCACTCATTGCAATTGGTGCCGGCATAGCCGCTGTCGCATAAGCACTGGCCATTCCCCTTGCGCGTGCCACTTCCTTTGCATTTACCTAATCGAAATGGTTTTTGATAAGAATCCATATTGAAACCCAATTAAAATTGCCGGTTACCCACCATTACTGTTGCAATCGGTGCACGGCTGGCACGTGGGTCCGTAGGTGTTTGGGGGGCAGCAAACGCTGAGCTGTTTAATACACAGCCAGGCATGCAGGTCGGTCTCCTCATCCTGCTTGTGTATGAACCAGTCTTCAATTAGCGACTCGTGATCGTTGCTCAAGGTGTGGCAATGGTCCTGTCCTCGCTTGACTTCAGTGCACAGCTGCTCTTGGATCTCAACGAAACGCACCTCGCTATTTTTATAGGCACGCATTTTCTCCTGCTCCCAGGCTGCATCACCGCCGGCATGCTTGCCTCGTTTTGTACGCTCAAGTCCCAAATTGAATGATTCCACGAGTACGGTGCAAGCTTTGCAAGGTGGCAATTTTGTTGATTTATCCTTTAGCTTTTGTGGATCATCGACAGCTATTGCAACTGTTAAAAGTGGCAGCACAAAACATATTTTTAATAGCATATTATTTCGTCTGGGCGTTCAGTTAAAGAAGGTTTACGTGTATTTCATTTAGGGATGTTGATACGGTATCGACCTATCGATGCTTCAGAGCTTACTGCGATATCGATACCGATACAATTTGACGATATCAATATTTTGGTATTAATTAGTTACTGTTTTTTAATTCCTGCACTTACAAAAATTTATTTGTATAACAATTTAATTTCTACGTAACACAATTTGTATGTAAAATAAAATGTCTCATTTAAATATTTATTAACACCCAACACACACAAAACTTCGAACACGTAGCGAAGTTTAATAACAAATGTAACCTACATACTTGTACATTTTCATCTATTTTTAAGCAATAATAAAGAATTTAACACAATCAGCGTCACCATTTGATATTTAAGGCCGTGTTTAGTTTCTCTACGGCATGGTAACTGGTATGCAGGAGCTCTGACGACTTATCCGTATGCGCGCCGTCCAGAAAATCGGTATAGATTTGTTTGGTATAGGAATTATCCGGATTGGAGCGAGGCAGCTGCTTATAGAGTTCTTCCAATTGTTGGGTTAACTCCCGCACATGCTGGCCCGTAGTTGGCCGCACCTGTGCGCCACCATTAATGCAGCCGGAAGGGCAGGCCATGACCTCGACAAAGTGATAGCCTGGCCCCTTGCCACGCTTTAGCTTCTGCACCAGATTTTGTATATTGCGAAAGCCATTGGCAATGGCGAACTTAAGAACGGTTTTGCCATCTTTTTCCAAGCTTATTTCACTAAAGTCGCGATTGCGCAGCGCCTTGAATTGCAGCTCGTTGGGCGTTTCCTCGCTGAACAGCTCTTTGGCGGCATATTTGAAAATGTGCTCCGCATAGCCGCCGGACATGGTTGCCTCGTGTGCCCACACCGTAAACTCGGGCTGTTGATCCGTCCAGGGCCAGTCTATGTCTGAGGGCTCGAATTGCTGTAGCGTTTGTTCCTCTGCTTGCAGCATTTGCTCCACTTCAACTGCGGGGCGAAAGAATAGAATTGACAAACCATATAAGCCGGAAAGAACGCTGCACTTACTCGAGGTAATCACACAATCCACATCCCGAGAGCCATTGACTTCACTGTAGAAATCCTCGCGTGAGGCCTCTAGCTTCTTATCGTAGCAGGGCATGATTGTGGCATGGTAGATACGCGAGCCGGGCACACCTAGCTTTTCGGCCAGTAACTGTTTAACCAGCACGCCCATAATTTGTTGTGGCGACCGCGTTGTGGCTATATGCGGCAATATAAAGTTTCCATGTGTCTTTTCTGCATAGCACACCCAACCAGGGCACGATGAGCTCAACATGCTGAGTTCGGCATTGTCGCGGAAGCGTTCTACAAACTCTTGTCGGCACTCGAGCAGCGCCAGATCATCGGCAATTTTTGTGCAGAGCACATAATCAGCGCCCAGTTGCCGCAGATAACCGGCCAAATAACGACTCGCCTCCTCAACGCCGAGGTCATAGCGATGCGCCAGACTCAGCAGCGGTTGAACAGAAATTGTGAATACGATTGTGCGGACCTGATCATTGTCTCCAGAGGCCTTTAACGTTTGATTTTCTCGAAGCACTTTCAGCAGCTCTTCCTGACTTTGCTGCGTAATGAGCACGCCCTCCGCGGAAGTTATGCAGCCGGAACAGGCCAGGCAATCTTGTAGTGTGATTTCAACCTTTTGAAGCTTTTGCTTGCCGCTCTGTAAGATATTTTATTTGGATTATATATTAATCATGTTTGATAACAATTTACCTCTGATTGCTCGTAGTACCCATCTGCTTGAACCGTAATTTTGGCTCCAGTCTTCGATTTGGTCTTATCTATCATCACGGGCTTTATGCATTCCTGAAATCGCGCATTTCATTAATTCATTTATTATTTTATTACTGCTGAGCAGCTTACCTGTGAAGGAGTTATAAAGTCGTCCAGGTCGGTAAGTTGCAGCGCTCCGCTAAATCGCGACATGGTGTGAATCTTCTGATTTAAGTTTATTTACGATAACGCAATATATGTCAAATCATATGCTTTCGCGTTAACATGCGAATGGCAAATCAGATGCCGAGCAATAATAACAAACATAAGCAAATAGTATTCATAGTGTTTATAATTTTCTGACAAATTCCACAGAGACAGAACATAACTATGTAGTCACAATTCAAAATTTTATTTTCAAAAATTACAACAACGCGCGCACATAAAAATTAAATTTTATTTTGTGGTCTGTACTGTCCATGACAACCCTGCTGTGCTGTTTTGAATAAACGACCAAACAGTTGGTTTGAATCGATGTGGCAACACTGCCGTTTCTCAACAAAAGCATTTCATTTCCACGCTGAAAAACGCAGAACATTTTGCGATGGGGCGAAGTAAATTCGTTTCGTCCTCGCCAAAAAAGGTAATCAATGCAAAAGTCGAGATTGTCCAGAGCATGCATAACTAATTGCATTCACATTGCGCAGGTGATGCAGCACGGCGAGTTTATAAACCGCATACAAAAGACGCTCTACTATGGATGCGTGGACACAACGGAAGCAGACATGGAGGTTTCCATGCCATTTGCAGAGTATGCTGCTGATCTGTTCTCGGAGCCACATCGGGGACACTCATTGCATCGCTTGAGCTCTATTGCGGCAGGCAAAACGCATGCAACTCCATGCTCTCTTATAATGGCCCTGATTTACTTGGATCGTCTTAACATCATTGATCCGGGCTATGGCTATAGAATCACGCCACAAGAGCTGTTTGTTGTGTCATTGGTAAGTGTCTGGGTCTCTCACAGCAGCTCGTGACGAAACCTGTTGATTGATAACCCACCTTCCGCGCAATAACACATACATTTTCATTCATTTTGTGATTGTATTTACACACATACACACACACACGCATGGGCAGCAATAAGAACAGTGTTCTAAAACAACGAAACGAGTATAAAATGAGCTTGTGTTGGTAAGGCAGATCGCTAGCTATTTTATTCTGTTTTGTTGGTTTTGTTGCTTGGCATTTATTTTTAATTAAACGACAGTTGGCAATGCTGCTGATAAGCTGCAGCCGCATTGCATACATTGCATCAAATGAATATTTATATAACTCTGTTATTTATAGCACTTTTTTTTCGGCCAGCCATGCCATGCCATGCCAAAACTGTGACGTCACTGATTACTCATGAACTTGTTTTGTGTTTTATGTTTTGTTTACAGATGATTTCAACGAAATTCTATGCCGGCCACGATGAGCGTTTCTATTTGGAAGACTGGGCTAAAGAGGGCAACATGAGCGAGGACAAACTCAAGCAAATGGAACTGGAGTTTCTGACCGCCATTGTAAATACTTCTGCCCAAATTCTATCTATTATTCGATTAACATACAAGTTTCACTTAATAGGACTGGAACATATACATATCGAACGAGCAATTCTTTGATAAGCTCAGCAGCGTGGAACGAACGCTGGCACAGCGCGAGGGCTTGCGACGCGGCTGGCTCACTTACAGCGAGCTGATGCAGCTGTTGCCCAACTTTACCATAATGAGATTTTTGCTAAATAACCTGGCTGTGCTGGCGTTGAGCTATGCGGCCAGTGTGTTCACAATCGCTGGGGCATTTTTCATTGCTAGCCAAGTGCCGGGCACGCTCTGGCATCGTCGCACACACACGAACGCCACGGCAACGGTTAACACAACGCTGACGACCCCCATGACAACGCCCAATGTCACTGATGCAGCGCCCGTTGTCAGCGGCGATCTATCGATTCGAGTTGCGGCGTCCAACGACAGTTGCAGTGCTTTGAATGTGGAGGCGGAACTAATGAATCTGGAGCAACAATATTGCGCCGAAGAAAGACTGATTGAGTTGGAACGTAGGCGACGCTTGGAGCAACCGCCCAATCCACTGCTGCCGCCGCCCAATTTTCATGTCACGCACGCTTCCACGCAACAGGATAACACACAGCATTGGCTCAACATCAAGTCGCAGTACAGCGATGGCACTGAGCATCGCAATCCAATTACCTTTGGCCACAAGACGTACAATTGGAATCAAGCGCAGAATGCATCCATTTTTTGGCAGGTTCTCAGCGAAGCCATGTCGCACCAGTCGTTCTTAGTGCGCTGGCCGGTGTTGTGGCCAAAATTGATTTAAGGCACGAGCTGCAATTTTACAAACACGTTCTGTACTTTAATCTATAACGAAAATTCTTTCAAAAAGGTCAATATATGTTGACTCCAAATAAATTATATTTTTTCAACACTAATAAAATCGATAATTAATTACAATTTGCTTCAATTTAATATCTTTATTTGTTAAGCTCTCTACAACTTGGACTTTGATATTGTACATAATGTATACTTCTTGCTACTGAGTTTCAATATTTTTTAAAGCCTATTTATATTTTATGTAACATGGGTGGAATAGCTTCGAGTGAGCGCATAGTCCAAAGCATTTAATAGGCACTTTGCAGTGTGATGTGTTTCAAAGTCAGATAGTCCAGTGTGTAGGCATTATATTCTATTGAAACAGGCTTTGCTTTATTTCAAAATGAAGCTAGCCAAACGAAATAATGATGTCAACAGATATGGGGCTTGGGCATTTATCAGCCAAGTTCACTACAGAAACGTTCTATTTTGATTTTTGGTGTTACATTTGGACCTTTTTGCAGCTACGATACATTGTCAGTTTTATATTTACCACTAGATTATATTTATATCCGAGAATACAAAAGAATTGTTGCGTTTCACCTAGAACATAAAACCAGATGAGTTTTGAGTTGCAGTCAGCATTAGTGCAAACTTGAAATTACATAATAATGATATTGAATCTTAATTTTACTAGGCGGAGTTAATAGTATTTAATTAGTAGGTACTTTGAGTGTCACATTAGTTTGTTTTACATCGCGTGAAGTATTCATAGAAGAGAACTTTAAGATAACTTCAAGATCCCAGAAAATGATCAATTTTTAAATAAATAAAATAATAAAATCAAAAGTTTGCATTCGGATTGCGATCTCAACAGAAACTCCATAGAATTGACTGTTACACTAGTTAAATTTTGAGTGTGGAAAACCTAATTCTCAGCCGTTGGTTTCGGTTCGTCCTTAATCAGCCACAAGGGGCACATGCCGATTAGGCAGCCGACTGTGATGCCCATAATGCGACCCTGCAACAAAACATGCAAATATTATTAGTAATTCGATTCATGGCATTCATTCGGGTTGCTTACCCAACTGGAGGCTCGCCTGCTTGACTTCAATTCAAATTGTGCGGGCGTCATTCGGGGTTGCTTGAGTCCCAATAGCTGACAGCCTTCCTCCACATATGTGGCCATCGTAATGCCCATAATATCACTTATGGTATTCCCAAGTCCTGCGGCGGCCATTGTCGATAGCGTTATGAAATGGCCCAATGAGCTCTCAATGTATTCACCCTGCAAGCCATGATATTATATAGTATATGATAACAACTGTTGATGAGGCGAGCTTATATATAATCTATATGCTGGCAAAACTGATGCGCATGGTAGTGCAACTCATCATCATTATGATTACTTACGGCCGTGATCATAATGAAGTTATCAAGAAATCCAAAGGCTACAAATGGCACGGCATTCACGAAGAAAACTGCAAGGATTTAAATTGAAAATTAAAGGAAAATAATTATCATTTATTATCTTACTGTACTTACTGCTATAAAGTTGTCTAGCGGTGGGCGGTTCTGCCGCCTCCACTGCGAAGAGAATAGAGATAAAAAGCAGATTAGTTTTCAATTGCATTGGAATGCTATGTTCTTCTTCTTCTGCTACTGCAACTGTTATTCTGTTATTGTTGTTTTTGAGTTTACCCAGTTTCTTTTTCAGCCACTCATCGGGCACCGCACAAAATGTGCCGGTCGGATCCACTTGGCCCACCTTATTGGAAAGACGTCCGAAGCGCGTCCGCCAACTGCCAACGGCTAGTTGGCCTTTGGTTTGGTTGACAGTGTTAGAACGTTGTTGTGTTGTGCCATGTGATTGGTGTGTTGTTGTTTGGATCCAGTGTTTTTAACAATACAGATTGTAATTGTTGTGTAACAGTTGTTAAAAATCAAAACATGGGGGCAAGTGTTTACATATGCAAATAAAAAAGAAGAGATTATAGTCATTTAATATGAGAGAGAGTACACAACTGAATATTAACCTCATAATTATACTTATGCGAACATGCTAATACTTAAATAATAACTAAGTAATTAATTACACAGCTCATGATCAGAAACTAAAGTTTAAAAACATGATAATAACCGAGTCATTTAAATAATTATAGGGTATGATTTTTTTATAGCCAGGGTTAAGGGTGCTTATAAATACTTTGCGATGACGCAAGTTTTATAACCTTCGTCGGAAAAAAACAAAATATATATTTATAATATATGTAGCTAGCAGGTTATTTTGCTTTCGCGCGCACACACAGCTAATTAAATAGGTAAAAGGCTGAAAGGTGTCGCATTTATAAAAGATTTCACATCAATCGCCCCGCCTAGCCCACCTGCACTCAACCCACAGCCACTCGTCCATTTACGCTTGGCGAATTGCATTAAAATTGCATTTGGCAAGCAACAAGCGCGTTGAATGGCTGTGCCCGGGGTTGTATGTATGCGTATGCATCTTCGTTTATACGATAAGACATTAATTTTGCTTCATTTATTTATTTATAAAAGACAACTCTGAAAAACAGTTACAGTCAGTCGGACAAATTATTTGCAAATAAATACTGTGGCGCTGCCACCTTTGTTAGCGTCGATATTATTTTCGACGATGTGGCGACTCTCTATTAAAATATGAACTGATCGGATTACGAAATGTTGATAGGGCAAGAAAGATACTTGCGTATGATTTACTTATCTGGCAGCACTGTAACGCAAAATTGATCTATTAACAGTTACTTGAGCTTTGGCCGCAAAGTGCAAACGTATAAACGCGTGTTTCTGAATTTCTCACGCTGCACCAAATTAAGTTTTGCAATGGCCTGCGTTGCCGTTAATTTAACGCTGCATATTTTCACGCGTCGCAAACGCAGTGTGTGTAAATATGTGTTTGCCTGCCAGTTTTTTGTGTACAAAGCCTGTGTGCGCGCGCGTGTGTGTGTGTGTTTAGTTGTGTAAGCGACGCATTTTAGTGCCACTTTGGGTGCCGTTAGTTTGCCCAGCACATAACCATTAGGAACGTGTTATAATTACGCTCACAAGTGAATGTCAACAGCCAGACAAAATGGTGCCCCCAACTGTCATCATAATTATCATTATTCCCAGTGTTGCCACCTCCCCAAAGTGCTCAATTAATTTACAGCTTCGCTCTTCGAGTAATCACAACGGGAGCCATTCAAAATGTGTGACAGCAAGTTAAATGCATGTGTCGCTTAAAGGCAGGCTGCCATACTCTATAAACAGTGCAACGTTGTGGGTAAGTGCAACACAATTGTTAAAATAACACTTATGAAAAATGTCCCTCTCGAGCCCACAATTAATGTACATAAATTACTGATCAGGATGGCGATATGAGCATGAGTTAAATTCTGATTATCCTTTTTTTGATCGAATTTTACAATGCTACGCAGTGAAATTTTTATATTCGCCCCAAATTTATAAATAAATTTTAAATATATATTTTTTTTATATTTAAAACATAAATTTTCATAAAATGCTAAATATCTTATTTTATTTGAGTTTAACATATTTCTTATTTCGTAGACACTAATATACCCTGTTTTATCCTAAACACGGGGCATAATCAGTATGTCACAGGGGCCTACTTCGCCGTTAGACTCCTGTCACACATCAATTAAATACATTCACACACACACACACACACTTACGTGCAAGTGTGTTGACTTGCTCATAAAAATAAACATCCCGCTAGACTTGACTGAGCAATTTGCAGGGCAATTATGTTGTTTAGCTGTCGGTTAAGCGTTAGACATGATTTTCTCACTTGATACAGCGAATCAGAAAAACATGCGAAGAACTTTTCTAAGAGACTTGCATGACTATCTAAATACCCTAACTAGCTCAATAGTTGAATGGAATCTAATATGAATTATATTGCTTTCTTTATTTTAGAGATTTGCATTAACTGTACTTTTGATTTCCTCTAAATGTTTATAGGAATGAATGAATGTCCAGGGCATTTTGTATCAAAATATGTGCTCATATCAAAGCCCAAGTCTATATCTTTTTGTCTATGTTATACGTTAGCCTGCAAATATCTTCGTATCTTAAGCTCCTTTAATACCAATACGTTTTAATACGCAGCTAATTTGGTATTTATTTTATAAAAAGAAATCGGCATCTATATGCACGGGAATACACCCAATGCACTCTACATTAGGTGTGGGTATTTTTATAGAGGCCACAAAGGCAATCGGCTGACCTCGACACATCCTTTTTGCGCGAGCTCGCGCAGTGTGTGTCATACATATGTGCGTACACACACAAGCACATACACTCACACACACACAAAAGTTTGATTTGCTGCGCAGCGTTCCCAAAAGCAGGCAACACTCGTAGCTCGCTTTGTACTCGAGCTGAGATCTGAGAGTGGCGGCACTTGGTCTGGACTTCTTTTATTTTCCTTTTATCTATCCCCTTAGTCTATTCGCGCTTAAAGTTACACAAAATACAGCCCGTTTAGCTATCATGGCCAAAGCAATTGAAAGCCATGAAAAAAGCAACAGGAAAACGTGAGTGTGTTGGCCCGCAGAAGTGTGCATGTATGGGTAAGCGTGTGCCTGAATGAAAGTGTGTGTGTGTGTGTGTGTGTGTGTGTAGATATTTGCATAACATTTAGCATAGTTTATTGGCTGCTGTTTAGCATTTAAATAAATTCATTGTCAAGAAGTTCAAAAAGTCCCAACTTGCATAACGAACGTGTGCAAGTCGTGTCTGAGGTCAGCCCAAAAGCACACTACACAATTTTCACCAAAGTCCTTGCAAGGCCAAAAAAAAACTGTTTGTCACGACAAAAAGCTGCAATTAATTTACTTTACCACAACAATTTTTAAGCTAGAACATAAGTTCTTTTCAGATTATAATTTGCGAGCCGCAGGCATTTCTTGTAAAAACACTTTGAGAATTACAACGCAGCAAATTCATATTATAAAAGCATAAATATGCTTTTTATTAGCCTTCCGAACCTGATTAGTTAATCAAGCTCTGTTTTATTTACATTGGGCTAGTTTTTAAACCTTTCTGGAATTATTATTCCAGATTCGAGATTGTTATCGTCTAACTATATTTGTTGGCATTTTGAAGTCAATTTTCTAAATTTCAGGCTATTTTAATTTATTTAAAATTTTAATTTACATTTTTTAAGACTTCAAAATGAAATTGCAGAAATGTCTAATATAGTATACTTGAATTGCAATATAAGGTTGTCTGAAAATTGAGATGATTTCTTGTAACTAATAAATTATAATCAAATGCGTGTTAAAGTCTACTTGAATTATGCTTAAGATATATTTGTAATCCTTGAAAGTTCTTGTAATTTTTGCTCAATATAATTTTTTTTTGTTTTTTATGTAAACTCAAGCAATCCTGTGTTACAATCCAGGAGTTCAGCAAAATAAAACATAAAAACATTGTAAGCCATTTGTGTGTGTGTGTATGTGTGTACTTGCTTTCGCATGTATTTGTGCGTAGCTGTAAAGTTTTAGTCATGTATACCTGCCCGGGCTGAGGGCCACTGCGTCAGCTTGCAAAGCTTAACGGGAACAGTTTTCAATTTATCGCTCTGCCTTTTGTGCTGTTGCTCTCTTTCCTTTTGTCTTTCGTCTGTTGCTTTGTTCTATTGCTTTCACACTCTCGTCTTTCTGCCTGTGAAGCTTTGTGCGAGCGATGCGTTGTTTTGGTTTATGACTTTTAAGGGCATACACATACACGAACACATGCACGTCCGCGTACACATACACATACGCATACACATACAGAGCAGCTGTTGCTGCTGCCGCCTGTTGCCTGGCCCGGAAACTCTCTGGCATCTCTTGCGTGCTCAGGTGCCAACTCAAGACACTGTCAAACACATCGGCACGTGCTTTTACAAAAAAGAAAAAAAAAAGCAGCCAACAAATTGATTTAAATTGCAGAAGCCATCGCTCTGCTACATACTTTGCCACGCTCTGCCACGATTGACTCATTTAGTGTTGGGTAATTTACATTAAGGCCACAGTGTTGGAAAAGGGGGGTGAGGTGCTGTCAGAAAAGTTGACAGCCACTCGACTTACATTTTTGAAGAGGCATAATATTTGATGAGCTGCTTCATTTTTCATACAGCTCTTCGCTGTAGCTCTTCCGTTTCCGGTTGATGAAAGAAACTGTTTGAAGTGTTCAACATAAAATATGCTAAATGTAAATCAATTTTTATAAGGCTGCTTTGAGGTTCACTTAACATGGCAACAACATCTTTTTATATAAAAGTAAACTTTATACATATTTGTTGTAAGCATAAATTCTTACACATAAGACTGGAAACTAACTAATTTTAAGGATGTAACAGAAAATATGATTTAGATTTGTTTGAATGTTAAAGTCATTCGATTTTCTTTACTTTTAATTGCATTTTCCAGCAAAATCGAATGAATTTCTAAGCTTAACAATTTTTATTTTTAAGAGTATTAAAGCTTCGAGTATTAAAGTTTTTGGTATGCAAATTGCCCTATTGATTTTTCGGCTCGCAATTCTTGTTATTGTTGCTTCAATAGTGCAAAGTTCTGCATTTGTTGTGCTTCGTCAGTTCATTTTTCAGTTCTTCAGTTCATTTTCTCCATAAATCTCTATTGCTGCAGCATTCAGCTTATAAATCAAATAGGGTGCACATGCATGTGCGTATGTGTGTGTGTGTATGTCTGGGGGGAGGCACTTTCAACTCCCTCGGAAATAAGCTTTGGTAATTGTGATAAATGTAGCCACAGGCAAATGTAATTTTTAAATTCTAGCTCATGTGCTGAGCCAACAATGCAATGCAATACAAATGAGGTCAAATAACGCCCAATAGAATCTAGATACGCACAGCAAGTGAAAGCGAAAGAGAGAGAGAGAGAGAGAGAGAGAGAGAGAGAGAGAGAGAGAGAGATAGAGGGCGAGAGAGGCCTGGGCCTTGGAGTGGGTTGGGGCTTCACTTGCTTGAGCAGCTGCTGCTCGCTTCAAGGCTCACCGACTTTTTCGTACATAACAGTGAACATCATTTAATCTGTGTGTTTGTGTGTGTGTGTGCGCCTAACAGAAAACGAATTGCCTCCTTCTGTTTATCAGGGTTTTGTGTTGTTGCCGAGCAAATATTGTGCGACATTCCACTTAACGGTTGTTGTTCCCAAATATGCCCGCTGGCATTTTGAGTGTTCACCAACCGCTAATTTGATTAAGTCGGCTTTGTATGCAAGTATCAAAGCTCTTTGGGCAAACACCCCTAAAAAAAAGAGATGCTGATTTTGAACTGAGTATCAAGTTGAAAATTATAAAACAGACAAATCCATTGGCCGACTTTATTTTCTATTAAAATTATTTAAGATTAATAAAAGCTTTGATAAGCTTCAATCCATTGGCTTGTTTTTTGTTTAAAATGGTTAAGTTGTACCTTATATGTACACCAGCTGCAGCCGATGCTTCATAAGCATAGCTTTATAATGCCCTCTCGCTCACTCCCACTGTTCAACATGATGCTTCCCAATTGCACACACGCGCAGAACGCGACCGATCAGCATGGCAGACGCGCACAGACTAAATCGACGCACTAGGCTTGAGTCTACGCTAAGCCAGCATTCACACTAATACATGCACACCTAGCTAATATAACTCTCGCGCTCCCACCATGCACAGTGCTCGCAGCACAGCCAATGGCGTGTATCCACTGTTGAACACACACACATTCTTACACCATGAACAACGTTCGCTCTTTGAATAAAGGTTCTTTCTCCGCGCATAATAATTTTTAGCAAGCCCTTCTCTTCTCTTAACTAATCTCTTCTGCTATTGACCCTTAGGATGTAAGTAAATAGACTCAAGAGGGATAGTTTTAAATCATTTTTGTTAAAATTACTATAGAAATCTGGTTGAAAGCAAATATTCTTATAAATCAAATTTTCACTCAATGAGTTTAAAAATTGAGAATATTTATTTTTGGTATTGTTCAAAATATCCTTCTTTTACTATCATTTATTTTTGTTAGAAATAAACGAAAAATTCCAGCTTCTCGTTATTAATTTCTATTTAAGTACATTGTCAAGTACATGCTAACATTTATCAGTAACTCGATGAAGTACTTTTTTTATGTAACATTTGCGTTGCTTAAATATTTGTTAAATCACTCAAGAAATTCTTATCAGAGAGCGAAGGAAAGAGAGAGAGAGAAAGAGAGAGAGAAGAAGCAAAAGTTACGTGAAGAAACTCGTGAAACTTCTGCTGATTAGTTGAAACATTGTAGATTGTTGGCAAGTGTTGTTAAGAGAAGTTTTTACTTGTTTTTAAGCCAATTTGTCTGCATTGAAGAGTAATGCAAGAATTTAAGCTGCAAAAAACTAATCAACAAAGTTTTCAAGAAAAAAAAGAGACCGTTCGCAAGGGCGGCAGCCAAACTAAATGCTGTTGCGCTAGCTGTGACGTCAACGTCGACGTCGATGCTGGCAGTGCGCCTAGTGCGTAAAGCAGTTTCGGCAAGTTTCAACCAGCTGCAGGCGGCGCAAAATTTTGTAGCTGCCTGTTGAAATATTAATGAGCAGCCCACCAAAACGAAAACGGGACCGAAATACGTTACCTGAATTGTGAGCTATATGCTATGCTATGCTATGCTGTGTGCTGAGAACAAACAAACGTGTGCGTGTGTGTCTACAAATATGTAGATAAATACAATGCATGATTAAATGCGCATATTTAAAGAGCTTCTTGGTGAGCACAAAAAATAAAAGTAACATAAAAACATGAAGAGCAATTGTTTCAGGCTAACATTGACTTAAACTCAACAACATAAGCCTAACTTTGTGCTCGCAACATGTTTAGCAAAAACACACTTGATGTTGTCAACCATTTGAGAATGTTGCAACACTACACTAGCAATATTTTTCATTGTCTTAGGCTTAACAACGTACGAGGGATAAACCTGACTTTGTGATCGCAACATGCTTAGCAACAAACACTTTATGCTGGTAAACATTTAGGAAACTGATACAAATGTTGCAAAACTGCACTAGAAATATTTTGCATTGTTTTAGGCTCAGCAACGTAAGAGGGATAAGCCTGACTTTGTGATCGCAACATGTTTAGCAACAAACACTTGATGTTGCCAACAAAGCGACTGATGTGCATGTTGTAAAACTGCCCAAGCAATATTTCTCTTAAATCGATTTCCAGAGCTTAGCTCAAATCTGTGCTCTCTATATTCAAAGCTCATGGCGACAACATTTGCTGCTCAAAACTTGTGCTGTTAGCAGTATTTGGCATGTTAGTTTACAATTATGTTATATATGATTGTAATCTGTTCAAATGTTAAGTATTGAGAGTTGGTAACAGTTGCCCAGCTTAAAATGAATCACAATGTTGCTAACAGTTAAGTGTTGCCATCGCTTAGCCTGGCAAATATTTGCGTCCGATGCATAAATTATGCCGCACGCCGCAAGTTGCACAGTGTGAGTGTAAATCTGTGCGGTGATTTGGTTTTATGTCTTCGCCAGGAGTCACGTACGCACCAAAAGCTGTGTGGCTGCCACAGAACATATGGACAGCAGTTACTTTAAAGCTATTGAGTGAGAATGGCGGCTGCTCGGCGTTGCGCGGCTTCGCACTCGGCGCTGCGCAGCTCGTCGCTTATAATTGAGAGTTGGGAATCGAAAAGGCTTAATAATAGCAATTAAAGACTGGACAATTAATTGTACACATTGTTAAGTTGCTAAACGGATCTCGAAGTCTATAATTTCACAGCTGACGAACTACAGCTGGAAGCTATAAAATGCTGACATTTGACTGGAAATGTCAACAGTTCAATTTGCAAATTAGCCACGTTAACAACAAACATGCAACGTTTCGTATACTCTGTGGCACTGGTCGTCCTGCTGGGCGCTGCTTTGACCAAAGCCTTTGACGAGAAGGCCGCCATGGCCAAGTTCCTGGAGACGGCCGAGCTGTGCAAGGGCGAGGTCGGAGCCTCCGATGCGGATGTGCAAAGCGCCATGAAACATGAACCGGCCGCCACCTACGAGTCGAAATGCCTGCGCGCCTGTGTTATGAAAAAGTTCAATGTGCTGGGCGAGAATGGCAAACTGGACACGGAAGCCGGCCGCGAAAAGGCCAAGCAATATACGGGCAATGATCCTGCCAAGCTAAAGCTGGCCCTGGAAATCGGCGACGCCTGTGCGGCCATCAGCGTGCCGGAGGATCATTGCGAGGCAGCCGAGGCCTACAGCATGTGCTTCAAGACGGAGGCCTCGAAGCGTGGTCTGATGTAATTAGCCAAAGGCAGGTGAACTATGAAAAACCGAGCAGGACCCCAAGCCACTAGAATTTAGTTTTATATGCGTACGCCCTTTAGGCTATTCAATTTGGATGAAAAGGTTATAATAAAGCAATTTCGACAGCAAAATAGACAAGTCATATATTTGAATACAGGGTAGCAACTAGTCGATCAAGTCAGTTTGTTTTGTTTAGATACCCACTCCCGCCATCAAATGTACTTACTTTCGAACTGTTTCTTCACCAAGTCCGCCTCCAGCTTGTACATGGCATCGCGCAGATTGAGACGCTCGTCCTCGTCCAGATTGCACAGCAGCTCCATCGCCCGCTCGCTGTTCAGGTGTGTGCTAAACTTGGAGTAGCAGCGGCTACTTGCCACTAGCCGCTGCTGCAGGCTGTTGATGTATTTGCTGCTGCTGCTGTTGCATGTGGCCAGGCAGGTGAATCTGCGGCTGTTGCAGCTGCTGATGACCGCTGGCAGCTTGGACTGCAAATGGCAATGACGCACCAAATGCCTCAAGGTGCTGCGACAGTGTGTCATCTTTGTTGTTGTACGTATTCAATTTGGCAGGCGCGATCAAATTTGTGACGTCACAGAACACTCGCGATGAGGAGTGGCTAATTTGGCGTTGCTTTTGATTGTGTGTGTGTGCGTAAGCGCGTGTGTGTGCGTGTGTGCGTGTATACCCGTGTGGATTTATACGACGTTGTGTACATAAACAAAAACACAAGCTACGCTTTGGCCTCTGCCGTTGCCACGAACCAAAAACAAAACACGACAAACAGCAAACAGCCGCGACCCGCTGACCAGAAAATTTGTTGCGTATGCAACTTCGTTGCCCGTTCGACTGAGACGACGACGACGACGACGACGACGACGACCCTTAGGGTTCACGATGACGACAGGCTAAAAAGCTTTGGCCATCAGCTTCTCTCGCGCTCTCCGCAAAAGTTTCGGCTGGCACTTTTGCTTTTTTTTTTGTTTTTTCTATTTTCTTTGCGCTTTGGCGATTCCAGACCTCAACAGCTGTTCGAAACGCTCGCGCACGTTGGATAACGTTTTGCGTTTGTTGGCCTCCACACGTTACGATTCAGGCACATTTTAACCACAACATTGCAAATAAATCTTGATACAGTTAATTTTGAAAACAGTATGCAATTTTGATCGGCAAATTTATTGAACAAAAATGGGCATGATAGCAACACTGATATTCCGAACAATTCATTATACCTCGAATTGAATTTTTTATTGAGTTGTGGGCATTCCCAAAATTTTATATCGAGGGTATTCTTTTAACAAATTAAAATATCAATAAATGTAAAATAAAATCAATTACCCTTAGAGATTACATTTAGTCTAGGACAAACTCTAATTACTTTTAAAATTCTTCAGGGCTGTTAGTAGTTTTTTGCATTCGACCAATCTTTGCTTTGTTAATTAGCTGATTGTATTATATGTTTATTTCTTTTGGGAACATTTGTTTTGTTATCGATATGTTTTATAAAAGCACATCGTACGTAAAGTGTTACAAATCGAACGACTCGTCGTATCGTGCGTTGCACTGTTTTGGTATTACTTGGAGAAAAAAACAAAATGGTCACCTTAAAAATACTCACTAAAAAATACCAGCGCAAATATCAAATCAACGAACGTTACGAATGCGACCCTGGTTTGATTATAGTTTGAAAAAAATAGCTAAATTTTAATTTGAGTCTTTTGTTTATTAGAGTTTAATTTTCTTGTTTTGCGAGTGTGTGTGTGTGGTTTTGTGTGTGTGCTTACAACTAATTGGCAAAAATCTTAAGAACAGATTGCGAGCCTAGTCAGCAGCAAAAGGAATTGGCATAAATATAACGCACGTACGTATAGGACACGTAATAATTATAAACATTACTATGTGCAATCGTTGGCGCGCTGTCCGGGAATGCCGCGCAGCTCTTGATTGAGAGTGCGCAGCAACGGATGCTTGCCGCAGCCGCAGCGACCACGGAAATCATCCAAATCCAGGGCCCAGACCATGCCGCCGCCCAGACGCAAGCCGCGCACAAATTGCGCCTTGCGCCGTATATCGGCCACATCGTCGTAGGATACCCATTGATTGCCGCTGTATGCGAAGGGTCCAATGCGACCCTCCTCGTCGCGCACCACCGTCCAGCCGCCAGCGCTGACCTTCTCGCAAATTTCATAGTATGCCAAAAAGCCACCGGCGCGCGTATACGTGCCCGCCTGGCCGGGTCCAATGGATTTATCGTTAAGGGAGCGTGCGTTCTGATTGGCCAGCGTGAAGGACTGGCCGTACAGGGGCATGCCCATGATCAGCTTGCTGGGCGGTGTGCCCTGATCCAACCAATAGTGTATGCTATAGTTGCCATTGAAATAGGGATTCGTATCGCCCTCCACATAATACAGCGGCGCCACATGGCCCGTCTGCTTGTCCCAGTGGCCGTGGAAATCGTAGGTCATCACGGCTATCCAGTCAAAGTAGCGTGCCAGCTGCGGCACATCGTAGCCCGCATCGATGACGGTTTTGCTCGGTGAGACGGCGGCAGAGAGCAGCAGTCCACGTGGCCGGAATGCATCCGAAAGTTCACGCACAAGTGCCGCAAATCCTTGCTTCTCCGCTGGCGAGCCCTTGGCACAGTCCACCTGCCAGCAAACCGGATACTCCCAGTCCAGATCCAAGCCCTCAAAGCCATATTTCTCAACAAACACCAAAATGCTCTCGATGAAGCGCGCCCGAGCCTGCGGATTGAGCACCAGGCGTGCATATTTGCTGCCCAGCGAATCATTCCAACCTCCAATTGCGACAGTTACCCGCAATCCCTTCTTCTTGTACTCCACAACGCGCTCGTAGAAGCGATTGTCGATGTCTGCCCAGGAATCGTGCGTCTTGATGGTCAGCGTGTTGCTGTTGAGCACCGCAAAGCCGTAGACGATATGCGTGCAGAGATTCTCATCGATGTCCTCGGGCACATACTTGCCTTGGCCGGGCCGATACCACGCCCAGTTTGTGAAGTAGCAGACGACCTTGTAGTTCTCATTGCTGCCCAGCGGCGGAGCTGGTGTCGGCTTTGGGCGCGCCAGGGGCTTCTTATTGGGTGGTGTAAAGGGTTTCTTTGTGGGCTTTGTGGCGGATATGCTGCTCTCCGTGGTGCTGGTTGGCTTCGGCCGATGCACCACCGGCGGCTGGGTGGTCTGGTCCGCGCGAACCGTACAGTGCGCATTGTTTGGCCAGTCGCAGTAGTTCTCGTTCCAGTGTAGACCAGCGGGGCAGCTGGAAGTGATGAGACACGATTTTAGTAAAACAAATTTTGGCACAGTCTACACATTAATTAAGTTAAATTTTCGACAAACCGTTGCTCAATGAATTCGCCGTATTGGCATATGTAGTACTTGTTGCAGTCACGCTCGTGCGACGCATAGTTGCGTCCAGCGCAGTCCAGTGGCTGGCTAGGATCAGGCCTAGATGAGGTTGCAGCTATGTTAGCCGGAGTCACGGTGTTAACGGTGGGTCTTGGTGATTCTATGGTGCCCTTGTCGCCAGCAACTGCAATCGGACATTTTATTTAGGTCTCAGTTTTACTTTCCTTCCGCTTACCCATGGTCTTTTCGCTCTGCTCCAGCGTGCACCTGGGATGCGGTCCCGGATAGCCGCGGAGCACGCGGTTTATTGTTTTGAGCAGCGGATACGACTCGCAGCTGCAATCATTTTTGAAGTCATCCAAGTCCAGAGCCCATATCATTGCGCCGCCCAAGCCCATGGCGCGCACATATTCGCTCTTGTGCCGGATCATCGGCGCATCGTCAAAGGAGACCCATTGATCCCGCGAGTAGGCGTAGGGACCCATGCGACCACGTGCATCGCGCACCACATTCCAGCCGCGACGTTGAATGTACGAGCAGATCTCATAGTAGGCTAGGAAACCTCTGGCGCGCGTGGCCTCGCCCGCCTCGCCGCCGCCATAAGTGGGCGCATTCAGCTGATGATCGCTGGCCTGGGCCAGTGAGAAGGATTGACCGTACATGGGCATGCCCATGATAAGTTTCTTACGCTCCGCTCCACTTTCCAGCCAATAGTTTATGGAGAAGTTGGCGTTGAAGGTCGCCGTGCCTTCGGGATGATCGTACATGGGTGCCACATGACCGGTGTGCTTGTCCCACTGACCATGGTAGTCGTAGGCCATCACAGCAATCCAATCAAAGTAGCGTGAAAGTTCTGGCACATTGTAGCCGGCATCGACGACCTTTTTGTTGGGCGAAACGGCAGCGGAGAGCAGCAGTCCCTTTGGCTTGAATGCCTGCGAGAGTTCACGCACCAGATCTGTGAATCCTTGCTTCTCGTCGGCAGTGCCCTTCTTGCAGTCCACCTGCCAGCACACCGGATACTCCCAGTCCAGGTCTAGACCATCGAAGCCGTACTGTTCGATAAAGTCCAACACGTGGCGTATGAATCTTGCACGTGCCGCAGCGCTTCTTACTAAACGCGCGTACTTATCACCCGCCGAGTCGTTCCAACCGCCTATGGCTACGGTTACCTTCACACCCTTTTTCCTGTAGCCCACCACGCGCTCATAGAACTTGTTGTCCAAATCCGCCCAGGAGTCATGTGGTTGTATTGTGAGCTTATCTCGATTTAACACGGCAAAACCGTAGACTATGTGCGTGCAGAGCTCGGCATCGATATCCTCGGGCAGATACTTGCCACCACCCTGGCGATACCACGCCCAGTTGGTGAAATAACAGACCACCTTGTAGTCGTTGCCGGCGTCGGAGCCGGAGCCAGCTACGGGATAACCGGCTTCCATTTCAAAATCAACCTCCTCTACTTCGTTTTCTTGTGAAGATTCCAGTTCGTTGTTGCCTTCTTCCTCCTCATTGTTGCCTGTCTCTTGTGATGTAGAATATTCCGGCTCCGGGTGCTGCATTACAGCCACCTCTTCTTGCTCCTCACCGCCTTCGCCTTCACCTTCTTCAGACTCGTTGCTTCCCTGGCCAGTTGATTCCGGTGAAGATTGCCCGGCTTCGCTTTCTACAGATGCTGTTCCAACCTCCCCCGAAATGGCTTGCTCTTCCACTGACTCCACTTCCGCCGGGGTTAGACCAGCTGTGGAGATTAACATACGGCATCAAATTTAAGCATTCTTCTAAAAGTCTTTAAAGACTTACGCGTAGGCTCATAGCCGCTTGGCGGATCCTTGAGCACAGCATGAATCTCACGCAGCAATGGATGCACGCCATCACCGCATCGATTCCGGAAATCGTCAAGATCCAAAGCCCAGACCATGCCACCGCCTAGATTCAGGGCACGCACCAATTGTGATTTCTTGCGGATCATTGCGGGATCATCATAGGAAACCCATTGGGTACCCTTCCGGGCATACGGACCCATGCGACCACGTTCATCTTGAACTACTTCCCAGCCCTGATGCTTGACGCGCTCGCAGATCTGTTGAAGTGCATATAATTAATATGTTTAAAATGCCTTGATGTAGTAAGAGCCATAAATAATTCATAACTACTGATCAAGTAAGGAACACATTGGACCCACCTCATAATAGGCTAAGAAGCCTGCAGCTTTGGTGAACTCGCCCGCCTGACCAGGTCCTGGGGCCTTGGCATTCAGTCCATTGTTGTTGGCATTCTCCAACGTAAAAGATTGACCATATAGCGGCATGCCCATCACAATCTTGCGAGAAGGAGCACCTTGCTCTATCCAATAATTGAGCGAGAAGTTCTGCAAGGAAAAAGGCTCTTATTAAATTCATCAACTAAAGATGTCGTAAAGGAGTTACCGCATTGAAGTAATCGAAATCATCATCGGGATGATGATACAAAGGCGCCACATGACCTGTCTTCTTGTCCCACTGTCCATGGAAGTCGTAGGTCATGACAGCAATCCAGTCGAAATAGCGGGCTAGCACTGGTACATCATAGCCTGCATCAATGATCTTCTTGCTGGGTGAGACCGCAGTGGATAGCAACAGACCGCGTGGCTTGAATGCCTCCGATAGTTCCTTTACCCAGGCAGTAAACCCTTCCTTTTCATCGGCGAAGCCCTTGTTGCACTCGGTTTGCCAGCACACCGGATACTCCCAGTCCAGATCGAGACCCTCAAATCCGTATTTCTCAATAAAGTCCAGAGCGTGACGTATGAATTTGGCGCGAGCCGCTGCGTTGCGCACCAGACGACTATATTTGTCGCCCTGCGAGTCGTTCCAGCCGCCCAGGGCCAGACTGACTTTGATGCCCTTGCTCTTCAACCCACTGACACGCGTATAGAAATTGTTATCAATGTCCGCCCAAGAGTCGTGGGTACGTAGCGTTAACTCTGAGTAATCCAAAACTGCAAAGCCGTAGACCACATGGGTGCACAGATCCGTGTTAATGTCGTCGGGTGTGTATCGACCCAGGCCCTTGCGATACCAGGCCCAGTTAGTGAAATAACATACAACCTTGTAGTAGCCATCCAGTGGCTGGAGCTGTGGCTTGTCTGTGGGGTAAGTGGGTCTGGGCGTGGTCGAGGGTCGCTGCGTGGTTGGCACTGGCTTGGCTGCAGCCGGGGGCTTAGGCTTTGAGCTGCCTGAGCTGCCGGAGCTGGCCGAGCCACCCGCATCCTCTTTGCAGTGCGCAGCGAGTGGCCAATCGCAGTTGCCCAGCGCCTCACTATAGTGCAAACCCGGTGGACAGTCAGCTGCCTGCAGGCGATTCCACAGACAGAACAAATACTTGGAGCAGTCGCCGGGATATGGCACACGTTCTTCGCCATTGCAGGGATCCTCCTCGCTTGCCTTGGACTGGACAATACGTAGATACTTCTTGCTGGTGACACACTGTACATTCTGCGGCCAATCGCATATCTTTCGGATGCCATCCCAGTGCAGCTCGCCGCCACATTCGCTCGGCACGAGCGCCCCATTAACGCAGATGTAGTACTTGCCACAGTTCCGGTGCGTGTAGTATTCACCCTCGTTGCAGCGCGATGAGGTGGGCGGTCTAGGACGTCGCGTGGTGCGATGTGGTTTCTTGGTGGTGCTTCCGGGCAGCGGTTGCTGAATGGGTTTTTGTGTGGGCTTGCGACTGGGCTTGGCTGATGTCGTCGTCGTCGTTCTTCTCGGTTTCTTGCTGGTGCTGGTTCTTGGTCTCGTGGTGGTGCTGGGTCTTTGGGTGGTGCTTCTGGTGCTGGTGGGTAAATTGCTGCTCGTGCTCGTCTGCTGTTTCTTCACCGAACACTGCGCGGAGGCGGGCCAATCACAGCTTTTGACCTCGTTATTCCAGTGCAGGCCGCCGGGACAGAATTGCTGACGCAGTTCACCCGGTACGATGCAGTGGTAATACGCATTACAATTCTTTGTATCTGGATAGAATTCGCCAGCCTGACAGTTAGAAGGCTGAACCACTGGATAAACCAGTGCTGGGACTGGTAAGGTGGTGTGAGCCGGACGTGCGGTTGTCTGCGTGGGCTTAGGCTTGGGTTTTGCAGGACGTTTTGTTGTTGTTGCGGCTGTGCTGGTCCACCAGGCGGGAGTGGTAGTGGTGGTGCTGGTCCACCAGACGGGTGTGGTGCTGCTGGTGGTGGGCTTTCGGGTTGTTGTGCTGGTGCTGGTGCTAGTGCTGGGTCTACGGGTTGTGCTGGTTTGATCCCAGGTAGGCCAGGATGTTGTGTGATCGCTGTGACTGCCGCCCGATGAGCCATCGCTGCTTATGGTGGTCATTTGCGGTGGTACAGGCGTAATCGGCTGTGGTGGACGCTCGCAGTTGTTGCGCGTGGGCGGCTCAGTATTAAGACGACCCAAAGCCCGATTGACAGCCTTAAGCAGCGGAAAGGATTCACTGCAGCAACGATTCTGATAGTCATCCAGATCAATGGTCCACGCGGCGATGCCACCAAAATCGTTGTTGGCCGCATAGCGCGCCTTGGCCTCCACACTGGCCGCATCCTCATAGCCCACCCACTGATCCCTTAGCATGGCATAGGGTCCCGACTTGCGGTCTGCATCTCGGCCCGTCTGCCACTTCTGTTTGCGTATGCGCTGACAGATCTCATAGTAGGCCAACATGCCGGGCTGTTTGGTAAGCTCACCGGCCTCGCCGGGACCGCTGGCGGCGACACCTTCGCCCACCAGACGCTGACTGCTCTGCTCCAGCGTGAAGCTTTGGCCATAGAAGGGTATGCCCATGATCAGCTTTTCGCGGCGGGCGCCCATTTTCACCAGCAGCTGCATGGTGAAGTCTGTGTTATACTGCGGATATTTGTCCTGCGGCCGACCATAGAGCGGGCTCACGTGGCCAGTTTGGCGCTCCCAGGCGCCGTGATAGTCATAGCTCATGACAGTCATATAGTCCACGATCTCGGAGAGCGCAGCTAGCTCGTAGGCCTCGCTGATGATCTCCTTGTAACCGGAAATGGCTACGCCTATTTGCATCTTAGGATTTACACGGTTCAGCTCTGAGCGCACTTCACGCAGCAGCTTGGTCAGGTTGGGCCTGTCGCTGGCCGGTCCTTTGGAGCAATCGCTTTGCCAGCACTTGGGGTAGTTCCAGTCTAAGTGAATGCCACTGAAACCATGCCGCTGCAGAAAACCCGCCGCACTGGAGGCAAACACCTTGCGCTTAATCTCATCGCTGACCAGGCGGGAGTACTTGTCACCACTTGAATCCGTCCAGCCGCCCATGGCAATGAGCACGGGCACGCCCAAGGCAACCACACGCTTATAGTACTGATTCTCAATATCGACCCAGGGATCGAATTCGCGCATGGTCAAGTGATCCGGATCGAGAGAGGCAAAGGAATAGACAATCGCTGAGCATAGCTTCGGATCCAGTTGCTCGGGCACAAAATGACCATCCGCCTTGCGATAGAACGCCCAGTTGGACATATAGCAGAGCACCTTGGGTGCCATGTTGTAGTTCTTCTTGTCCGTCGTTGCCTTCACCTGCGACAGGGCACCGTAGGCGACGCCATTTTCCGAGACATCTGCTAGGGCTAGAGCACCATAGAACTGCTGCTCCGTATAACTGTCCAGTTCATCGATGTGCTCCAGCTGCTCCAGATCCACAGACTTGAGCAGCTGCTGATGCGGCGAGCCGGAGCGATAGGGCTGCGGCTGATAATCATTATTTGCGCTGGGTGCTATGAAGGCGGCATATTTGTCGGACACCGTCCAGGGATCTGGTTGCACCAGCTGCGTGAGCTTTTCCTGTTGCACCTCCTCCGGCACATCGCGTACAAAGCTGGCTGGCGCTCCAAACTGCTCTGGCTCGTCGTCCTCATCGTAATCGTTGGGATGTGCCTCCACAGAATCCCGCACAAAGGATCGCAACGGCGACGATTCACGCAGTTGTGCAATGTTCCGTTCATTTATGCTAGGCACGCTTTCCACGGCGCTGCGCAAGGGTAGAAATGTCTCACCAAATGTGGGTCGTATGCTGAAGCGACTTAGTGCAGCCGGCTCATCCTCCAGCGGCATGCTCTCCACCGCGGCACGAACAAAGGCCGGCTTGTAGCTGGGCGCCACATGCACCTCGGGTGCCTCGATGCGAATGTGGCCCGTCGCCGCCGTTGTCCACAGGCATAACAACTGTGCGAGATTCAAGGAATTCACATTTAATGTAGTATAACCAGATAAACTATGTTATATTCAGCATGCCGAAGATTAAATACCCTAACAGATACCCTTCTATATATTCTTTCCTAATATATCGTACCTATATAGGAATTCGCAGTTGATAATATCAGCTTGTAATGCTGATTAAGTATATGAATACTTTATTTGGGTGGATATATCTCCTTCAATGGTCTAAATATTTAGAGAAAATCTATACCATTCTCTGTTAATCTATTTATACTTATAATATTCGATATGGCAAATAGACTGATATTACCCGACTTTATTATTTGAAGTTATAAATATAATTTTTTCACACATTTCGATTGCGCGAGTGAATTTTGTAAAGATAACAAAGATCTTGAACTATTAATTAAAGTCGTAATGATTGATGATGATAATTATATCAATCATGATTATGATTGATTAGGACTTACCAGCAGCCTGCATGTCGTAGCTCTCCTACGCATTATATAGTCTCTCCTTTGTTGCTCTTCCTTAGCTTATATTTAAGCTTTTCCACAACTGCAAAAAACAATTTGAAATAATAATTAATAAAGCTTGATATGCAAAAACCTTTCAAATTTGAATCAGTGTGACCAGACTTTGGGTGATTGCTGATGTAAAGAATGTACCGTGATTTTCACCGAAAATTGAATTATTATTTTTATTTCTTTCTAAGTTAATTTATTTATTTATTGAATATTATGTATATTATTTTATTTATTATTTTATTTACTAATTTATTATTATACTTATTATTGTAGTTATTTAATATATAAACTTGAAATGCATACGCTGTTAAAATTTGCATCTGATTGTTGATGTATTTTTGAGCATGAGGCATGAATGTACCGTGAGTTTCCCCGAAAATATAATTGATATTTTTATTTAAACATATTTCGCATTAAATCGGCCGTACGAATGATTTATTAAGGCAGACGCACGCATTATCGCGTCAGCGTTGTCCTCTCATATTACGTGCGGCTATGCGTTGCCCATTTTAATGAGATTGGATGGAGGCTTCGTTCTTTTTGGCTAACAAATTGGGAAGTAATTGTTAATTTTTCAATGTTTTGCGCCCGGAACTTATTGAAATGCCTATTGATTGTAAGTGATAAATGTCTACAGATATATATATATATATATTTTTATATTAATATGCCAGCTACAACATGACCTAGGCCCCACGCCCACAAAATGTCGTATATATGTGGCATGTGTTTCTGGTCTGAGCTCCTGAAACTGGCTTACTTTCCCACAGTTATTTGAAAATTGTTATAAATTAGAGCCAAAAGATAGGGAACTTGTTTTGTTAAATGTATCATTTAATTGCCAAAAACGAAATGTTTAATTAATTTCATAAATCGCTTTGTTCGGTTGACATTAAGTTCAAGTGTTTGAATTTGCCGCCGGGATATAAATTGATTTGTGGTTTTGATATTGACGTACGAAATTTTATCTGATTCTGAAAGCGCTTTTATATTTATATGAATCGTAAAAAGCTTTGCTATCTTCATATATAAACTTTTAGGTTAAGTTGGAACTGTGACAAGTTTCAGAGCGAAAATTTTGTAAACTAGTGTAATTGATATTGAAATACTCACACAAAGAAACAAAGAATTAAAGTTCTTTATAGTATTTGATTCGTTTATCTTTGTCAGTTTTATGTTTCAATATTTACACTCATAGCTTTTAGATTATTAACTGCCTTTCCCTGTCTGCCCCGACCCCGCTTCGGCGCATTTAAATGTGCTCTCTATTGCTAACATTATTGTTTTTGGCCAATATGCAAATCCGTTTTCAGAATTGGGTTAAGAGCTTTTCGCTGTTGACCGGTTTCTATTTTTTGCTATTGATTTGATTCCTGTTTTGAATGCTGGCGGCGGCTAATAAACGATAACGAAAAGACGCGTAATATGGGTTGTATTAGGTATGGTAATCAAAAGAAATGTAACCTGCGGGTGCTTTGTGAAAAGATGTTGGGCAAGTTTTGCGTTTAAATTTTGTTTAAGCTGGCCGCCGCCACAGAGCCGGGCAGGTTTTCATTTGCGTGAGGGTTCATTGAACGCCAAGAACCCACACTGATCCTGTCTGCCTGCCTAAGATGTGGCAAAACGAGAGATTGTGCAACAGAGAAAGGCCGCGACTTTTAAATCAATTTGCCAGCGTGCTGCTTTCAGCTTGTTAATATTTTGAATATACTATATAAATACACGTTGTGTTTCTGCAAAAATAAATCTGAATCAGAATCAGCAGAACAAAAGACCTGTGCCATGCAGTTTGCCATATAAAAAATGCTTGGCCATTTTATGTTCCACTATTAAAAAGCCATAAGCCTGGTCGCAGCACAACACACTGACAGAAATTCCCCATGCACTTCACGTACACAGACAAAAATTCCACTTTATATGCATTTCAATGTCCATTTACTGTTGCAACAACAAACGACACAATTAAACACACAGCACAAATGTTTATATAGAAAGTGTCTGCGTTCTCCGGCACATTTCTCACTTCTCCTGACTCATCATCGTACACTCACTTACTTAACGGCCTATTCAAAATGTGTGGCTATATTCCGAGGTAGCCAACGGTAATATTTTTTTTATTTTTTTTTGCTGATGCGAGAACCTCTGCGCATGCGCGCCCGAAACGAAACTGTTGCCGATCGCACTGAGGACGCTTCTATTTATACGCATGTGAAGCGTACGGCAAAAAAGCAAAAAAAAAATAAAAAAGAACGCCCACAGCAACGTTCTCCAGTGTCAAGAAAGGAAAGTTTGCTGCAAATCGTCGCACTGCAAATACTCTTTCAAAGGATCAACATGAACAGTTCAGAAATTTAAAGCAGCACATTCTCATATAAAGAAAACTAATCATATAAATTTACACAGATTTTCATACATTTTTATGCAAAATAGTTTAATAAGCAATTATATTTTTTAATATACACACTAAGTACTTATACAATTTTTACATTTTACAGAAACTTACTGGAAAAGACAATTCGGATCTTCAAATATTTTTGGTAAGCTTATTTCCATAATCTTGTTATATTTATATATTATTATTAATTTATATATTAATATATATATTATTAATTTGATAAATTTCTAAATATATTTTTGAAATTAATTTTCAAATCTTTTGCAACTAAATAATATTTTGAAAATTCGAAATGTTACAATTTGCGAGCGACTCTTTGCATAAACAAATGCTCTATAATGTCAAAGTCTTTGACATAATTGTAATAACTTCCCAGTTGGCAAAGCCGAGAAGACATATAACTTATGCGTACAAAAAATCAAAACAAAAGCGTTAAGCTTCTTTCTTTTTTTTTTTTTTTTATTTTTGCGTGTAAAATCTCTGCGCGAATATGGAAATAAAAACAAAAAATCCGAAAACCGGCAAACGTCGTACACATTTTGGCCAAGCTACTGGAGAAGCTACCGGTGTCAATGTCCAACAGAAACTGGTCCAGTTCTTCTGCTTCATCTGTCATGCAAAATCAACGGACGTAATTAATAATCGTATGGCTTGTCTTTTGGTTTCTTCTTTTGCATATTTCTGTGAGCATAGTATTAAGTGGCACCGTATGATAAATGGGCTGGACTTTCTCTAAGTTAGAATGTGCTATTACAAAGAATTTCACGTCAATAACTCAGTCAATAACCTATCGATGATGACTCTTTTATGCTAATTTTGATTAATATATATTAAATATAATTATAGGTATTTGTTTGTAATTTGCAAATCTAATAATTAATTTCATTTAAACGTCGTAAGAAGTATAAACTATTTAACTGGGATATAGTCCATGTGTCGTTCTTTTTTATACCCTGAACCCATTAAAAAAGGGTATTTGTATTTGTGCGAAAGCCAAATGTATGTAACAGGCAGACGGAAGCAACTCCGGCCCATAAAGTATATATATTCTTGATCAGCATCAATAGCCGAGACGATCTAGCCATGTCCGTCTGTCCGTCCGTCCGTCCGTCCGTCCGTATGTATGAACGCAAGGATCTCAGAACCTATAAGAGCTAGAGACTTGAAATTTTAGATGTAGATGCTCCTAGCTTCCGCGCAGATCGACTTTGTTTCCGATAATCGATATTTAACTCCGTTTCGATGCAATCGATAAAAATCGATAACGATATTCTGCTTTTTGGGCAATTTTGGTAAATAATAAGAACTAGAGTCACCAAACTTGACATATAGCTTCTAAAATAGAATGTATATGACATAGGATTTTTCTTCATGGTTTTTCCTCTAGATTAATCTGTCATTCAAATCTGAACACCGATTTCTTAGTCGAAATTTATGTCCAAATCTTACCCCAAGATTCGTATATAGACATGGGTCAAAAATTACCACCCCCATAACTCGGTCAAATCTCATCCGATTTCCGCGAAGTTTGGCTTTTTCTTCATGGTTTCCCTCTAGATTAATCTGGCATTCAAATCTGAACACCGATTTCTTAGTCGAAATTCATGTCCAAATCTTACCCAAGATTCGTATATAGGCATGGGTCAAAAATTACCACCCCCATATCTCGGCCAAATCTCATCCGATTTTCTCGAAGTTTGGATTTTTCTTCACGGTTTTCCCTCTAGATTAATGTGGCATTCAAATCTCGACACCGATTTTTTGGTCGAAATTCATGTCCAAATCTTACCCCAAGATTCGTATATAGGCATGGGTCAAAAATTACCACCCCCATATCTCGGCCAAATCTCATCCGATTTTCACGAAGTTTGGCTTTTTCTTCATGGTTTTTTCTCTAGATTAATGTGGCATTCAAATCTAAACACCGATTTTTTGGTCGAAATTCATGTCCAAATCTTACCCCAAGATTCGTATATACCCATGGGTCA